TTAAAGCCTGTACTTTCTACTTTTAGACAATGCATAATAATATATAGGTTGCATCATAAAAATATTGGGATAAATAGTAAATAAGAAATGTGTAATTTTGGTCATCATCTAATCTAAGGCAAAAATTGGAGAAATTCAAAAAATCGCTGTGACTTTATTTCTGGATACTGTGTCATGTTTTTTACATCAAATTAAAGCCTACACTCTCCACTTTTAAACAATGTATGATAATATGTAGGTTGGTTCATAAGAATATTGTGATAAATAATAAATTTGTAATTTTGTAATGTGTAATTTTGGTCATCATCTAATCTACGACAAAAATTGAATAAATTAAAAAGTCGCTGTGACTTTATTTCTGGATACTAAGCCATGATTTTTACACCAAATTAAAGCTTAAACTCCCTATTTTTAAACAATATCTAATAATATATAGATTTGATTATAAAAATGATACGATAAATAATAAATCTATAATTTTGGTCATCATCTGATATCGAATAAAAAATGAAGAAATTAAAAACATCGCCGTGACTTTATTTATGGATACTAAGCCATGATTTTGATATCAATTTAAAGCCTACACTATCTACTTTTAAACAATATATGATGATATGTAGGTTGGTTCATAAAAATATTGCGATAAATAATAAATTTGTAATTTTGTTCATCATTTAAGATCGAATAAAAATTGAATAAGTTCAAAAAATCGCTGTGACCTTATTTCTGGATACTAAGCCATGATTTTTACATCAAACTAAAGCTTAAACTCCCTATTTTTAAACAATATCTAATAATATATAGGTTTGATTATAAAAATAATGCGATAAATAATCAATCTATAATTTTGGTGATCATCTGATATGGAATAAAAAATGAAGAAATTTAAAAAAACGCCGTAACTTTATTTATGGATACTAAGCCATGATTTTGATATCAATTTAAAGCCTACACTCTCTACTTTTAAACAATATATGATAATATGTAGGTTGGTTGATAAAAATATTGCGATAAATAATAAATTTGTAATTTTGGTCATCTAAGATCGAATAAAAATTGAATAAATCAAAAAATCACTGTGACTTTATTTCTGTATACTAAGCCATGATTTTTACATCAAATTAAAGCTTAAACTCCCTACTTCTAAACAATGTCTAACAATATACAGGGTGTGAAAAAAGAATGTAAAATATTTAAAGTGTTAATAGTATGGAGCAAAATAAAGAAAAATGTCTTAATAAACATGGATCCGTAAATGAACGGCTTCGTAGGTATGGAATGTATGAACTTATTTATTATGTTACAAAAAATAATGTTAAATAAGATGATCAAAATGTTCTCCTTCCATATCCAAACTGATACGGCATCTTCGTCTGAAGGATACTCAAACTCTTTCTAAAATCTCCTCATTGGCTCCAATTTCTTGGCATTGTTGATTAATACTAATCGTAGCTGCAGCTCCTTGAGGGTATTCACCAGAAAACGAAGTCTAGAGGGTTTAAGTCAGGCGATCTTGCAGTCCGTACAGGTCCGCGTCTTCCTATCTACGTGGAAAAGTTTGATTTAAATGTTCTCTAACCTCAATCGAAAAATGAGGTGGAGCACCATCGTGCTGAAACCAAATTTGTCGCCTTTACTCTAAGGGTTTGTCGTCAAAAAGATTAATCATTGTGTTTTGCAGAAAGTTTAGATAACCAGCGCCTGTTAATCGGTTTGGTAAAACAGCAAGACCTAAAAACCTGTCGAATACAATGCCCATCCAAATGTTTAATGAAAAACGTGTCTGATGTCCGGATTCTATTATTCCATGGTATGAATCCGGCCTTATCAGTAAAAAGAATATTGGCAAGAAAACGGTCTTCAGTATCATTGTGTAGAAACCAACGTCAAAAAACTAAACATGCTTGAAGATCAACTGGGTTTAAATTCTGTACTCGTGTACATGGTACGGATAAAGCAGTTCCACGTGAAGGATGCTCCAAACAAGAGGAATACTAATTCCTACCTCTATCCATGCCAGCATTTCTTTTTGTGGTCTAGGAATAGATACCGACCATGATCGTATGGATTGTCTGCTTAATGAACCGGTATCACGCAATCTTTGGTGAATTCTTGCAAAAAATACGATTTGGAGTAATGTGGCGATTTGGATAAGCTTCAGCATATAATCTCCGAGCTTCGGTGGTAATCCCATTAGCACAACCATACATAAGATGCATGTCAGTTAATTCTGCGTTAGAGTAAACAACCATAGCAAACAAAAACTTATGCAATGATAACAATCAAATAGTCAATGTTTCTTTCACAATGTTAGCCACCTATGTTAAGAAAACCATATCTTCGAAACCGTTCAATTATTTTGGTCTATACTATTATCTCTTTAAATATTTTACATTCTTTTTTTTAACACCCTGTATAGGTTTGATTATAAAAATATAGCGATAAATAATAAATAAGTAATCTGTAATTTATATTACATTAATAAGAGCACTTTGGAGATGTATTGGTGGTATTTTTGTTGTTAATTATTCTGGTGGTACCTACGATGACGTCTCCTTTGTACTGCCCTCAACACTTGTAGAGGAAGTTATCTGCTTGAAGTAGTCTTGACCTGAATTCCGTATTTTTAATCCATATAATTGAGGTGACACCGAATTCCAGATATTTATAATTAATTAGTGATTAAAATATTACTTAACAAAAATCTTATTAACATTTAAATTTTAAAACAATTACATCAATAATGTTATATCGTGATTTCTCACCCATGTATTGAAAATAAATCATTTTGACTCCGATATCGTTTATCAAATCGGTGATCGTGCACCACAGGAAACATTCTTACAAAATCACGAGTTAATTTATTTATATACAAACCGGTGCGCAACCTTCACAATCTAATAATTACGATAGTGTTACTCAACGGTTTACTCAGCTTTGGGTTATTATTATTACTACTTCACTCGTGCTTACATTCTGCAGGTGGATTTTACCAGATTATGATATTATTGAGTTTCTTGATTGATTTTTTAAACATTTTTCTTTACTTAAAACTAAGATTTAAATTAATTCAAGTATATTTAATGAGTGCTATTCATAAATGGTAATTGCTTTAGTACTTATAGATAATGAAACGAAAACGAAGTAAAAAGAAATGAGCCCAAGAACTCGAAACTTATCATTAGAACTACTTTGTAACGGTTATGAAACCATTCAATTAAACTTGAAGCCTTTCCATACCTTGTATTAGGTTCGATTTCCCGTACTTCTTTATTTTTTTATCAATTAGAATTTTATAGTTTTAGATAGTATCTTTAGACCTGTTGACCTTTTTCTTCTTAGGCCTACTTTCCACGTGTATATAATCGCTCTTCACACCTATAGTTTTCAGGACGTTGAGGCAATAACTGCTCGAACATCGAGACCCCGTAATTATCAGCCATCAAATTCTAAGGCGCAAAACGATTTCTGAACTTTTTTCTCTTTCTCTCTTCTTTTCGTTTAACGCGGAGAAAAGACCTCTTCGAAGGTAATCGAAACCAAATGGAATTTCAACAAGTAAACACTCACTTTTTTTTCAATATAAATCTAGAAGGTTTAATACTAGATAAGATTTTTTTTGACATTATTTTCTGTCAAAAAAACCAGCAGAAAATTTCTCAAAGCCACAATTTTTTTTGCACGAAATTTGGCGTGGAAATTGATCAACAAAGATGGAACCAGATCAATTAAATACAAAGCAAAGTGATAATTGGACTATACTTGAAAATAATCCCGATTCAAGCGAAAATTTCGAAATAGTCCTCCCAGAAGAAAACACCCCCAAAAAATCAATTCCCAACCAAATATACAACGACCATTTCCTAAAAAATCTTCGAAAAATAACATTTAAACCCGGAGGAAATAAAAAGTCATCATCTTCCGATCAACCCGAAATCGAAATGTTCACCCACCTAATTTTCTTTTGGTTCATCTTTGTTAATCTAGTGATAACCTCGATATTTTCCCATTTAATTCGACAAGATATGAAACTAAAAACGTACCTAAACATTTCAAAAGAAGATATTAAAACGGATTTGAATGATAATACATTAAATAACATCGCTATGAATCAAATTATTCCGAAACTATTAACGAAATTTTTAGATATGGATCGGGATCGATTAAATTACGCATATGAAAAGGAAAATATTTTCGATTTATTAAAGGAACAATCTCAAGAAATGAAAGAAATAAAAGAAAGCGTTCTTGAATTAAAACTCTTTTTGGATCAAGTTCAACATGACATTATTAAAGAAATCGTTGATTTTAAAAACGAAATCGTAACCGATGATAATTCTTTGAGACAACATTCAATTGCTTGGGTCGATTTTGTTAACATGGTTAATGTTATGATGGCTGAAATGCAATCGAGAAATTCGTACTCGAATTGGATGGATTTAAAGGATCAAAAAACGATTTAATAATATGTTTTAAACGAAGATAAATTTCTAAGTGATTTGAATTTTTTTGTGTATTTTGAAGAATGTGGCTTCTTTTTTTTTTGGTTCTTTTTTTTTCGGATAATGAAGATAAATATTATTTTGTTAATAAATGACTATATTTTTATAATCTTTAAAGCTTTATTTATGTTCTATCAGATTAACTTGATTGTTTTAACCTTCAAATCATTAACCTTTATCGTCTAAAATCTTTTAAAATTTATGTTTATTGTGTCGATGGTGTTTAGGTACACCTATATAAAAATTATTTTATATTTTCCCCTCCACATTAAAAGTCCACATCCAATATAAATTTCAATCTGGTTCAATTTAAAGTCTGCGTGGTGTTGCCGTCGAAGAGGCAGTAATAACAGCAAACTTCGTTTGGGTTTCGCCACATGACATCGGTTCGCTTCGAAAATTGAACTAGCTGGTTATCGATTTTGAATTTTCCGATAATTGGTCGGGGTTTTTCATCGTTTATTTACCAACGTTTGATTTCTTTTTATTTATTTTCAGTGATGTGCCGCCGGCAACCGCCGTGAGCGTCGGATCTCCCGTACGTTGTTCCCAATCCAGGGTCAGCATGGATAGCCCAAAGAAATCACCACAACATAGTCCAGCATCAGCTGAAAGGTCTACATTAAAAGTAAGTAAAATTTATAAATCACAACTGAAGTTAAATAATTCTCTAAATTATGCCGTATTTAATTAAATTTATTAACAAATTCAATCAATTATTTAAACTATATTAATTAAATATGTATATGGAAGAAAAAATATTTTCTGTTGCAATCTATTTTTAGTAATTAATTTTCTGATTCAATCCTCTATATACACAAAATATTTAGAATTAAAATATGATAAAAGATCATCATTGAGCATCTATTATGTTTTCTCTCCGTTATACATCTTGTACTAATAGATATACACTGTGTTAATTAATTATCGTACCCAATATGGGCTGTTGACGCAGTACAGTGTGTTAATTAATTATCGTACCTAACGTCATCATTGCATGTATGCAACCAATATCACAGTATTGGTATTGCAATACGCGATTTGCGTACCAATATTGTGATATTGGTTGCATACTTGCAATTATGATGTCAGGTACGATAATTAATTAACACACTGTACTGCGTCAACAGCCCTTGGTGTCGCTATAATGCACTTGACAATAAAATTCTTGCCACTTTTCTGTGGTACGTAAGATACCAAGATTACACCCGAAATTGCAATCATGGAACAGAAAAAACCTCATATTAATTGAAACTATGTTTGGTTAATCTACACTACGTGCCAAAAGAATTGCAACACCTCGAAAATGATGAATCATCAAGCTGAAATCTTAACAAAACTCCTAGGTGCATGTAAAAAGTCGGTGATAAAAACATTATATCGATACACAAAGATATGTAAGTTTTTAGCTGTGAAACACAATCTGTAATAAGAAAGTTAAAAACTGCATCACAAAATAAATGCTATTTAGTGAATGAACGTTGTTTCTTCGATTGTTAACAATGCCTAGAATTGGTTGAAGATCGCGGTTTAACCAATTATCTGACATTGAAAGAAGCGGATTCTTGGCTTGCACGCGGCAGGTATTCTGTCTCGTGGAATTAGTTGAAGATTGAATCGAAATCCTTCCACAGTGCTTCGAGCATAGACTGCGTGGTCCACCATACCACCGTAGGTTAGCATTGGTCGAACCACGGCAGTATAAATCCACAGGGCTATCTTGGGGGACAAACCCCAAGACCTCCCGACAACCCTCCGGCACTGGCCGAAGGCGACACAAGCTTTATTAACTCTATTATCTAGGTGGGATTTCCACGTTAGTTTACTGTCTATTATTAAGCCCAAGTACTGAACTTCCGTAGACAGTTTAAGTGAAGTTTTAGTATGCGTGTAAAAAGAATCATCTCTGTCTTCTTGGGATTGACTGAAAGGGATTGTTTATTACACCAATTCTCAATTAGATTGAGTGCTTGCTGCATCCTGCCGAGGAGTACGTTAACATACAGTGTGTTAATTAATTATCGTACCCGACGTCATCATTGCAAGTATGCAACCAATATCACAGTATTTTTATTGCAATACGCGATTTGCGTATGATACGTATTGCACTGTGATATTGGTTGCATACTTGCAATGATGACGTCTGGTACGATAATTAATTAACACACTGTACTTACCTCTTATAAGGATTGTCAGGTCATCTGCGTATTCAACGGTTTTAAAACTGGCTAGATTTAGGCGTTTCATAATGCTATCGAGTGTGAGATTCCACAGAAGTGGAGAAAGTATTCCCCCTTGCGGACAGCCTCTTGAAGAGTGGCCTGGCCAGCCCTTAATTTGACGATCCTGTGTCTTAGAGAGCTCTCAATCCAGTCACACAGGTCCAGAGGAACGTTATGCTCTAACAAGGCGTCGTTAATTCCGGAGAAGGTAGTTCAGAAACACCTTCCACGTCAATAAAAACCCCCAGGGCGAACTCCTTGTGGTCTAGTGCACCACCGACGAAACTGATCACTGGGTGAAGAGCCGTGAGCGTAGACTTTCCCTGGGTGTAAACATTTTGATTAGAGTCTAGTGGCCTAATACGCAGACAGGAGTCTCTAATGTATCGATCGCAAAGCCTCTCAAGCGCTTTCAATAGAAAGGTGGAGTGCCTAATTGGTCCATAGGACTTCGAAAGGAAGTAATCTTGCTTACCATGTTTAGGTATAAAGTTGACCGTGACTTCACGCCAACTTCCCGGTACGTAGCGAATCGCCAGGCATCCCTGGAAAATATTCTTCAGGTGCGGTAACAGGTCTTCCAGTCCCCATTGTAAAAGGTCCGGTGCAATCTCGTCTGGTCCTGGAGTTTTGAACGGCGAGAATTTTTGAACTCTTTAGCTGCCTACTCATATCGAGTCAACAGCTCAGTTCCTCGTCGGGCTTGGCATAAATGTCTCCTCACGGACACTATAAGGTAAATAAGTACCTTCAAAACATGAATCTTGCTGACTGTCCTCTCTGTCGAGCCTCTGAATAAGATGACGAGACGGTTAAACAGATCTTGTGCGATTGCCCCTCTCTGACCGACCTCAAAATGAGGACCTTCGGTGAGGAATGGCCAACCACAGATGATTTCAAGAATGCAACCTCTAGGAGCTGTCCTAGCTTTTGGCAAAACCTTAGGCTAGTTGATGTGACCAGAGTGTGTAATGGGAGGATGCACAAGGAGCTTAATGGGGCCTAAGTGTGGTGTGAGGTCATGACCAACATCGTCGTCCTAGAAGCGGTCGTCCTCGAGCGACTAACGAACGTGAAGATGGTCGTCTTAAGACAAATGAGTCTTAGAGACAGATTTCGTTCTTTGGCTGCAATTGGTGTTGACTGGATGAGAGATCTGAAGCAGATAGTGTCACGGAGAATGTTTGTACCAGTATGTACCAACGAATTTCATCTTTTAATCTCCACTAATACCCACCTTTACGACGTCTTCCTTTGACGCAACTTTCCAAAACAGCCAGACTTCTATGGAGTCAACATTGGATCGATGAATAGGGTCACATAATGTTTAGCGATAAATCCCGGTTCTGTTTGTGGCAAAATGATCGGGAGATCGAGTTGTCATCCCTGGCAGTTTAAATACACACCGATACATCCACAAGGTTTTACAGCCCGTCATAATTCCCAGGCTAAACCAACTCTCTGACATCATGTTCCAGCAGGATAACGCCCGACCTCATATCGCCCACATTTGTCAGAACTTACTACACGAAGAAGAAGTTGAAATTCTCCCCTAACCTACTCGCACTCTGGATTTATCGAGCATGTGTGGGTTATTTAGGCGTTATGTGTTATTATATTTGGGATCCAAACGGGACAGGCTACAACAAACCTAAGATGAGATTCCACAAGATACCACTGATCATCTCATTCAGAGCATGTCTCGCAGAGTTAGACAGTGTAATAATAATCGTGGGGATGTAACATTTTATTGACATAAATTGTTGGTATATTATTTTTCAATTGCTTTTTGTAGGTTAGGTTGCTTTCGATGTATGTATATATGTAGGAAAGGGGGTATGCTTCCGCATACAGCACCTAGGCCCCAACGGGCTATTTGTACATCCTATAGTAGAGGAGGATTCCTGTACTCTCTCCGGCTACATCAACCCGCCTAAGGAATTTCCGAAGGCTAGGATACAACTCAGAGGTGTGTTCCTGATGCCATTTGTGCTCGGCTATTTCTCTCCGAAGTCTCTCATTCTGAGGTCTTGCAGAGTGGGGCAGTCACACAAGATGTGTCGAATCGTCTCCTCGCTATGTTCGCAGAGGCGGCAGAGAGGACTAACAGTAAGCTTAAGGTTATAAAGATGCTTGTTTACCTTACAGTGACCCGTGATGATTCTCGTTACAGTTCATAGAGCGTTTCTACCAAGCCTTACGAAAGACATGGCTGCCTCTGCTGAGGGATAACATAATACTTCCTTAGACAGATGGCAGCCCTTAACCCTATCCCACCAGTTAATAAACACTTTTTGTGGGTAAAATCGTTAATTATCTCAATCTGAGTTGATAAGGACGGAGCGATTATCAGTTCAGGCGAACATGGCACTCGCTTGGCAGCCCTTTTGGCAAGCCTATCAGCGTGCTTGTTACCTAAACAAGTCGAGTGTCCTTTTGTCCATTGAAGTATAACACAGTTATGCACTGCGACCTTCTCCAATGTCAGATGACAACCCATAACAAATCCTGAGGTAATTGTTATTCTACTTAGGGCTAAAATAGCTTGTCTACTGTCAGTGTAAATTGTGAAAGTCTTACCTACCATGATTGTATGGCAATTAACTGGCCTGTATGACGGTGCGCTTGTACTTTTACCTAGAGGTTCAAATACGTGGAGATACGATTCGGAGATCGTACGAGAAGACTCCGGTTCCAGCTCCTTCCAGTTTTTTTCCTCTATTTCTGTGGAACTTGGGTGGGTGAGATGTTTCTTCGTAAAAATGTGTTGTAGGGGTGTGACGTCCGTTTTACATTCTAGAATTGGTGAGTTGTCCACCATTTCATTCCAGAGAATGGCATTTTTACTATCTCTCCCACCCATTAGAATTACTACAGTCGAATCATGGTCACCAGTGCCACGTCTTGAATGAACAAATGAAGTGGCGTTAGGTTCAACATGTTTTCCATGGCTGCAGTGGGGGTAGTCCACAGCGCACCTGTATTAAGTGCAGCATATGTAAGCATAGGTCGGATTACAGCCGTATAAATCCAGAGGGCATTTTTGGGTGACAAACCGAATGAAACGTACGTTTTTTTTACTCTATTATCTAGGTGGGCTCTCCATGTCATTTTATTGTCAAGTGTGATGCTCAGATATTTGACTTCTTTTGACAAAACCAATAGAATATTAGCAAGGGATGGCATTCTGGGCTTGCTAAACTTCCTCATCCGTGTGAAAAGAATCAACTCTGTCTTCTTAGGATTCACAGAGAGCCTTTGTTCGTCACACCAAGATTATCGATTTGAGAGCTACTTGCATCCTATCAAAAAGCACGTTTATGTACTTGCCTTTGACGAGAATGGTTAAATCATCTGCGTAACCAACTGTAGTAAAGTTGGCTTCAGTGAGGCGTTTCAAGAAGCTATCCAGAGTGAGGTTCCACAAAAGTGGGGATAGTACACTCCTTTGTGGACAACCTCGAGTAACTCCTCCTTGGAGCCTAATATCGCCAGCCCTAAGCTTAACTATCCTATGTTTAAGAGTGTTCTCAATCCAACCACAAAGAGTCTGTGGAACATTATGCTCTCATTAGGCATCGTTAATACCAGAGAAACTTGTTTTATCAAAAATTGCTTTCTATAACTGGTTTTCTGTCCACCTTTCCTTTATTTCGCTTTCTATGTTTGTTAGGATGCTTTTTCTAAGGAGCTTCTTGTCGGACATGGTATTGCCGCATCCACTGCATAGGCGAGGTGGTGCTTTTCTTTCCATGTCGAACAGTATTGCAGATAGCGCATATTCTTGTCTGACATCAGTGTTGATATGCAGGACTATACGGATCTTTGGATCCGTGTTCTTTGTAGTTCTTCAAACATTTAATTATCCGTATCACTTCAGCATATGTAGTTACGTTGATGTCTTGTAGTGCTTGTTAAATTTCTTCAACATACTCGCTCCACCTATTCAAGATATCATTCTCCTTTGGTGTTCTTACATAAGTTTGTTGCTGGATTAAATTCTCCTGTTTGTTCTTTAACTTTTCTATAAAACTTTCTGCATTCATGCTTGTTATTATGTTACATCATTTCTTTTACCTCACTTTTGGCCCGTTCCATCTTCTTCCTGTAACACACTCTGCTTTTCTATTATATTCACCTTAGTCGATTCTTGAAATTTTTTGAAGACACATTTTTCTGTCATCTGATTTGGAGAGCCATCCTACATTCTTCATTTCTATTGTTTCTCTTTTCCCCTGTATATTAATACAGTGTGTTAATTTATTATCGTACCCGACGTCATCATTGCAAGTATGCAACCAATATTACAGTATTTTTATTGCAATACGCGATTTGCGTATTTCACTGTGATATTGGTTGCATACTTGCAATGATGACGTCGGGTACGATAATTAATTGACACACTGTATGTGACCAGCAATTCCATTTACGCTAAAGTGCTAACTTAAAAGATTTACATTAACCTTATTAATTTTCTTTTTAGGTCCATCTACCAAATGGATTAAATGTAATAAAATACAGCGATGATACTGATGTAAAAACAATGATAGCATTGATAACGGAAAGGCTTTCGAACACGGATAGATATTACAAGAATCTTTACTCGATGAGGCTAGTGCATACAACAACAGGAGAGGTAAAATTCTCGCTAATTTATTATCATTTCTTTCTTTAGCATTCTTGGTCCTTCCACAGACGCATTGGTTGCTCCAAGATACGACGATGGGTCAAATCCAAAACAGATATCTTCACAAGCACCCGCTTTCAGAATGGAAATTCGAATGTCGCGTTAGATACCTACCAACGAGTCTTCGGGAGCTCTGCGAGAAAGACCGGATAACGTTTTATTATTTTTTCGATCAAGTTCGACATGATTACCACGCGAGTAATGTGATAATCGAACAAGATGTAGCCGTTCAATTATGTTGTTTGGAGGTGAGGTATTTTTTTAAAGACCTGGCGGCTTCTGCGATCGATAAAAAATCAAACCTTGAATATTTGGAGAAAGAAATCGGAATGAATAAGTTTTTGCCGCGCGTTATCATCGATACAGTTAAACCAAAAACGTTGCGAAAGTCGTTGCAATCAAATTTTAAAAAGTTTAGTCATTTAAATGAAACGGAATGTATGTTTGAATTCTTTCGACTTTTGAAACCCTATTACAAGTACGATGAGGAACGTTTTAAAGTCGATTTGGGTAGCGAATGGTCAGTTCCTGTTGAATTAATTGTTGGACCTCATCACGGAATCTCATACAGCGGCGGACAGATACAAAATTGTAAAATCGCCGAGTTTAATCAGGTTCAGGCAATTCAAACGCTAGTCAGTGATTGTGATAAACACTCGAAAGCCACGCTTCAACTCAGGATTGCGGGCGCTCAAGAAATACTCTTCATTACTTGTCCGAACTTGCCTGTTGCTGAAAGTCTGGCTGATTTAATTGATGGTTACTTTAGGTTACATTCTGGTACCCATAATTCTATATGGAATAGAAAAGGTAAGCACTTAATCAATTAATTAAATTAAAATTAATAATTCAAGTAAAAAAAAATCGTTATTTAAAGATTTTTTAAAAAAAAGGAAGATAATATTTAGGTCACTTTATTTAAATATAGACAACATTTGTCAGTGTTTGACCAACGTTATCTAAAAAAATAAGCTGAATATGAATACTTATCTCATTTAACGCCACACGAGTTTAGACTATGTAATAACGAGTTACTTAAAACCCTGAAAATTGGAATTTAAAAATTAGAATAATTTGAGTTTTGTTAATATAATATTACGTAATTTGTATTTTACAAGCGACTGTTTGGAAACAATTTCCGTGTCCATGCAAAGGTTAGTAATCATTAAAAATGGCATGACGCACTGGACTTATCTAATCACAGCTTATTTATTTCTGCACATTTGCCACCATTACCTTTTCGTGTCGGCTTTATTTAAATCACTTCTTAGATGTTAATTTCCGTTTTGATTTTTTTATTTTCAGAGACTACTCCGGGAAAATTGTTGGGAAACCAGAAAGATAATCTTAATTTTACCGGTACGATGTTATCGGAAGATTACGCGGAAATTGTTGATGAAGAGGGGGATTATTCAACGCCGGCAAGTAAGCAACTAAATTAAATTATTTTTGATAAAAGACGTTGATTTATTTATTTTTTTTATTCAGCTAAAAATTACGAATTAATTCGTACGCAAATCGAATTAGGTGATATATTAGGTGAAGGTCAATTTGGCGATGTTCATAAAGGAGTTCTAAAGAATAAAGATGGAACTACAGTTCCTGTGGCTGTGAAAACTTGTAAAGGAGATGCGGATCCAGCGAGGACAGAAAAGTTTTTGGAGGAAGCTTGTAAGTTAATTTTGTTATTAAAAATAAATTCGTTAAATTTATTATTGTTTAAGATATTATGCAAAAATTTGATCACCAACACATAATAAAATTAATGGGAATTTGTTCAGCTTCTCCAGTTTGGATAGTAATGGAATTAGCAAAATTAGGTGAACTTCGCGCTTACCTACAAAACAACAAAAACCAATTAGATTTAAGCTCCCTTTTACTATACGCATTCCAACTGTCAACCGCTTTAAGTTATTTAGAATCGAAAAAATATGTCCATCGGGACATCGCAGCCAGAAACGTTTTGGTTAGTTCACATAATTGCGTAAAATTAGCCGATTTCGGATTATCTCGGTGGATGGGTGAAGACCAAAGTTATTATAAAGCATCGAAAGGAAAACTACCCATTAAATGGATGAGTCCTGAGAGTATTAATTTTAGAAGATTTACGACGGCCAGCGACGTTTGGATGTTCGGGGTTTGCATGTGGGAAATTCTTATGATGGGTGTCAAGCCGTTTCAGGGGATTAAAAATAACGATGTGATAGGAAAAATTGAAAATGGGGAAAGATTGGCTTTACCACCTTGTTGTCCACCAAGATTATATTCGTTAATGTCGCAATGTTGGTCTTATGAACCTAGCAAGAGACCTACTTTTAAGGAAATTAAGGAAATATTAAAGTAAGTAATGATTTTAATTACAAATTTCATCATTTCATTAGTAATAAGTGATTAAAATTCATAAAACAGTTTGAATTGAATTGATTTGTATTAAATAAATCAAAAATCATGTGATTCTTTTGATGTCAACTCTGCATTCATACTGAAATAAAACATTCTTTCCAGCGATTAGATTCGACTAGATAATTTTAATTAAGCAGAACGAAATTAACTCTCAATGATGTTCAAATGATGAACACCTTAGGTATCTTAGGAATGTTACGTTCATGGGCATGTTAGTCTATGGTTCATTCAAAATAATAAAATAATTACCCCATTAGTACCGTTAAAACTAAAGTAGAAATGAATCCCAGTATGGAAATTGGTCCATATAAAATGAAGCGTTTCAAATTTAAGAACATTTGTGATGAATTTATTTCTCAAACGGTTTTTATGCTAAAAATTGAGTTACAATTAACTATTAATTTACATGTAGGTATTCCTTTCTTCGTAATCACCTAATCCCGAAATTTGCAAAATGACGTGAACATTATTTTAAAAAAACCGGCGTTACACGTAACAGTGGACTGCTATGGCAGTAAGTTCTAGGGATGGCACGAAAATTCGTCCTTGATACTGATTCCAGCTGATCCGGTCATTTGATTGCAGATCCGATTCCTGCTTTTCAGAAAATGTGCGTTCCCTAAACACTACTTGCAGGGCTTGACAAATATTTTTGAGCTATTTTGCTTAATTCACGGTACAGTTCCTTATGGCCTTTCCACCAAATAATATGATTAATTTGTTTCAGAAATTTATTTTCACTTTTGCGTCAGTTTTTTGGTTTGATGTGATGATGAATCAGTAGTACCAATAATATCATTATACACCATTGCCATAAAGACTTAATTTCATTTGTAGACAACTGAACAACATTGTCACTATCATTATTATTCGATGAATTGCTCTTAAAATTGAATTGTTGTAGCTTTTAGTGTATTTTGCACTAATATTCCTGCACCAGAAAATGTGTTTATTGAAAAGTATTTTTGTAATGTGGCTTCAGTTTTTATGAATGATAGAAAGTTGCGGCTTTCGCGAACCTGAGCTACTTTTTTGTGAAACTTACAATGGCGCAAACCAAATTTTCATGGCCCTCTTCGTTTTTGATATACAGGGAGTGTTTGGTGGAATTTGGTTTGGACAGAAGGTGGAATTCTATGTAGTTGGTACATCTTGTACAACTTTTCTTTGTGTTTTCTTTTCTTCCGACCATCATTTTGTCGCTCGGCGGCCTGCGCCCTCGGCATTATAAGGTCAAATTGTCTATGTTTTAACTAATTAAGCCGAGGTCGTTTGCGGTTGAGACTCAGTGATTAATATTATATCAACCTGAAACTGTATGAATATTGCAGCGCGTCAGCTTTATTAAGTAAATTTGAAGGTCTTTGGACTAATGAAGCCAATGTAGCTCCTTGATGAACCTTAGTATTGCCCTGAGACTTTTACCGAAAGTTTTGTGTCTTAGACGGCCTCTGGCGACGCAATTACACAGTATATGTTCAGCTGTTTCTGACTCGTCGTTGCAAAGTTGACAAGTTTGATCTTCAGCATGTCCAATGTGGAAGAGGTGGTATTTTAGGGGCGCATGGCCGGTCAGGTAACCTGAGAGCATCCTTAAATCCCCTTTGCTGAGGCATAAAACCTTTTGGTTTTGTTTCGCTTGTCTGTGACCTGGAAGTTCTTTCCAGCGTGAGGCTACCTTTGAGACCTCCCAATTGTTGATTATTTGTTGTAGGTGGCTTTTTTGTAGTCCACAGCCAGGTTGGGGTCCAACAAAGGGCGTGTTCGCTGCCTCTTTGGCCAGCTTGTCCGCCTTCTCATTGCCCTCAATGTTGTTGTGACCTGGAACCCACCATAGGGTAACATCATTGCCCCTAGCGAGTTCTCTCAGGTTGCTGAAACACTCTCTGATCAGTGCGGAATCACACGTGTAGGCCTGAATTGCCTTTAAGGCGGCCCGACTGTCTGTCAAAATGTTTATGGATGCACTTTTCTGTCCCTTCTTTAGGTTCAAAGCGGTGCAGAAGTTTATAGCAAGAACTTCTGCTTGTAAAATTGTTATGTATTTGGTCCAGTGATACCCATACCTACTCCGGATCTAACTGTCTTTGAAGCATCGGTGTACCAGGCTAGGGCTCCTCTTTTTAGTTGAGGCCCTCCCTTCGCCCAATCATCTCTGCTTCTAAATATGACCTTATACGGCTGCTTGAAATTGTATTCTGTCGGTATAAGGTCCGTTTTAATTTCAATCAGGTGATTTAGAAACTTAGGTTGCCTTGCATCAACTTGAACGAAGAAACTGTTTTCAGTGATAAGGCACTTGAAGCTGCCTCCTTTTGTATATATAAATGGAGCGGCCAAAGCAGCCGTCGAACAAGATCTCATTGCACCCGTTATGTTAAGACATGCTAATCGCTGGATTTGTGCCAGCTGTTGTTATGCTGTCTTACATGTTGTTGTTTTTGGCCACCAAACCAATGAGCCATTCGTGGTTTGAGACCTCAATTCCTTCCTAGGAGCCTATGGCAAATCTGGTTTGCCATAATGGCCTTTTTCCTCACCTTATCTAAGTGTGAGTTCCAGTTTAGTTTACTGTCTAGTATTACCCCTAGGTATTTAACTTCTGTTTTGAGGTTAATAGTTCTGCTTTCAATAGAGGGTGCTTTTGTTTGTAGCTTCCTTCTCCGAGTGAAAGGAACTATTTCAATTTTATTTGGATTGATGCTGAGCCCAGTGCTTTAGTTGAGTTATGATTCATATTTACCAGGTCATCAGCATACCTCTGAATCTTGAATCCGTTTTTTGATACTGTGTTTATCAAGTCATCAACTACCAGGCACCATAATAGAGGGGGGACATCATCTTAACGCCTTTATAGTCAACGACTCGCCTCCCAGACTGACTGTGATCTGCCGACTTTTCAACATGGCTATACACCATTTGATTGTCGACGGATGTATATCTTTTACGTTTAGAGCCTTCTTTATGGATTCATAGGAGGTGTTATCAAACGCACCTTCTATAACTATAAAAGCACATAGGGCTATCTCTTTGGTTGCAATTGCCTCCTCTAAAGTGCTAGTCAAAGCATGGAGAGCAGTAATTATTGATTTTGCTTTCTGGTAAGCATGTTGGCTAGGGTGGAGTGGATTAGTGACAAGCACTCAATTCCTAAGGTATTGATCGATTACCTTTTCCATCCCTTTGAAGAGAAGTGAAGTTAGGCTAATTGATCTGTACGCCTTGGGGTCGGCGTTTGAACGCCTACCACATTTAGGTATGAAAGCCGAGGTTGCTTGCGGCCTTCGCGTTATCAACTACAGTCGGCATCATAACTTTATTATACCTTGTGCTTAAACTAGGAAGAATGAATACCTGAAAAGTTGGCCCAGAGAGGCAAGGTAACTGTATCGTTGGCGACTAATCTCAAAAAATGTTTTGATATTCAGGGACTCTTAAGAAATATCTATAGATTACTGCAGGATCCAGGTAGGGATTTGCTAAGCTATTTTACAGACATCGTTGGGGACTATCAAAACATTTTAAGTCTTTTGGAGGCACTTATAATACCACTCTTTTAGTTATTTAGCAGGACTTTAACACATAGTACTCTTTAAACTTACCTTACCCTCTTAGCCTACGTACCATGCCGTCTTCACATTTTGTCTTCAATCACATTGTCTTATGTCATAATGACGCAGACCACTATGACAATGACATTCTAGAATCCACTATTTCTCCAAATAAAGTCAGTAATTTAATAGCAGAACGTGAATCAGTGACGATGAAGAGTCGATGCAAAAAGTTTTCAATGAATCAAGAAGAATTTTGAGCCATGTTTAACTATACTGTGGCAAATTGTTTCAGGATTCTTAACAGAAATTCAGTTTGCTCCTACAGGAATTAAAAACTATCATTTTCGTCAGACCCATGCGTTGTTACAACATAATCGTTCCAAGAGAACTTTGTCTGACGATTTCTCTGAAAGTTCATTGTTTCAACACTTTTCTAGCACAAACAGTTATCATGATTTTATGGTAGTTATAAATACTATTCTTATATGCTTAAAATACTATTTTTCTTCTTCAATGGCTCCACAGACCGTTATCGATTGCTTAATTTTTCCTACAACTCTGTTTGTCCATGGCTTATCTCCTCTAGTTTCTGGACTCAAGAATATCATTGGCATACCTGAATATAAATAAATAAATAAATAATCATTTATTGTACAAAGAAGTATAAAGAAAAAAAAACAATATATATATAAACAAAATCAAAATATAATCATAGAAACGAAAAAAGTTATAACAAAAATAAAGAGAAAAAAAAAAAAAAAAAAAAAAAAAAAAAAAGAAAAAGGGAAAAGGATTGTTTATTGAAGCTCCTCCTATGCTCCTCCCATGCTCCTCCTCAGGCNAACAATTTTAAAACAAAAAAAGTTAGGAGGGAAAAAAAAAACAAATTAGGAAAGTAAAAATTAAAAATTACAAAATTAAGAAAATTAAATTCCGGGTTCATACAAAAACAATAAAGTAGTTATAACTGCCAGACCGGTAAACAACAACCGAACTTGACTCACCATCTGACCTGATCGCCCATCACACTCAGATTCTGACGCTGATTAATAATTAATGTCTGATTATCGAAAAGTTTTGCATAGAGCTCTCTCCGAAACCGCGCAGCCCCCACGGACTTAAGTTCATCCGGCTCTCATCTTGCTCTCAACTCTTCCCTAGATCTCGCTCTTTGTATTCTTCTATTAAGCAGTTGCTTCGATATTCTTCCGTCCTTCATCTTGCCCATTGCAATGTCTGGATCTTGATGTACTCTAAGAAATTAGGCTCCTCTCTATCATTTCTCAGGATCTTCTTCTTCTCGAAGACGTCAGATGTCTCTTTACCAGTTTCTGAGTTAATGACCGGATTCTACAGACATGTATCATTTATGTTCCTATGTATGTTAGATTTGTTTATATTCTTCTTCGTATTTCTCCAGCCTATCTGCTATCCCTTGCCAGCTCTATTCCAACATATACGAATTTCGGGACCATCTCTGTCATCCTCTGTGTCACCGCCTACGATTCTGCCTCAGTCTGCATAATTATTTTCATTTTCCTTATATTTGTCTCATCTCCACCTACTTCATTACGTTCTTCATTTATCTGTAGGTTCCTTCTGTATTCCAATTTTCTCTCTTCCAACTAGTTGTACCGATTTGTTTTCTGGTAGATTCAATCGTCCTATTTTCATTTCTCATATGGCATGTTCCACTGCCAGATTAAACAATGTCAGTGTGAGCCCATCTTAATGAGTGAATAAATTAAAGATTATAAGTTTTTAGTGTCGTAGGGCTATTTCTGAATTATTTTGGAACTCTTTTGGACGTGTGGTGTGATATTATGATATAGAGGTTATATTTCTGTTTTAAAAATTGTAGGTTGAAACACAATATATACTACTTTTTGTCATATATTATAAAAATTTCTTTGTAATCCATAAAATTTAACCTCCTTAACTTCATCTGTCTTTTTAATTAAATTAATAATTTTTTTATTAGTGAGATTTTACTAGAAGAAAGATCTGCAGCTCAAGAAACCTTAAAAAGAGAAAATAGACGAGTGGCAGCTATGTCATGGGGTTCAGGTGAAGATATGCCCCCTCCACCAAAACCTTCAAGATATCCAATGCAAGGTAAATTTAAAAAAAATCTTTCTAAACTCTACAACAAATTATTTATTTTTTCTTATATCATTTAGGCGTTGATTCAGTATCTTTGGCATCTGGTCCAACAACAAATCCAGTGTCGCAAACATATATAATAGCCAAAAATCCGGAGGTGTTGGCCCATTTAATGAAAGAAAACGAGAACCGCGGATTTTCACCTTCAGCTTATACAACACCAGCTTCGGTATTTAATTCAGTAGCAGTAGAATTCGAAAAGAAAGATGACGTTCCCGAACCGGTCCTAAAAACCATGCCGATCCCGATGCAAAGTCTCCAAAAACTTGATCCCGAGGTCCCCGACGGCCCCCCTCAATCGATGAATCTCGATCAAACTCAAAAACCTGTTCAAACCCAACAACAGAAATCGACCGGAACTTTAGAACGTACCCCGTCAAGATCGAGTAACAGCAGTGGAACCCCAAAAATGGGTTCGTTAGAACGGAAATCTAGTTCCCCAAAAATGAATTCTCTTGAAAGAAACGCCCAGATTGCTAACAGTTCTCACGGTAGCTTAGAGAAAACGGGAATGTTTAGTCCTAAGTTAGGTTCTTTGGAACGAAAATCTCATTCGGGTTCTCCAAATATGGGTTCTTTGGAACGAAATACCCCGATAAGTTCTTCTTCGGGAACTTTTTCTCCCAAAATGGGTTCTTTAGAGCGAAATGCCCACGTAATTTATCCGGATCGTATTCCCAATTATCACCCAGAACCAACTTTGTACACTATTAATGCTGAAAGAACTCAAGTTTTTGAAGAAAGTATTTATGATTTTGGTGGTGCTGACGTTAAAAGTTGCGCTCATAAACAACCACAACCATATTTTATTCAACAAAAATTAGCGACGGCGTTTGTTATTGAAAAGGAAAAAGATGTTCGAATACAGGTTCGAATTTTGATAGCAAAAAGAAATAAATAAAATTGTGTAGCATGTTTTATCTTTTATTTTTTGAGTTTTTTTCCGTGTTTAGTTCATAAATTTCTTGAGATTTTTTTTGTGTGGTTTTAAACAATTTTTGATTTCAAAGCATGATTTTGCATGTACTTAATGAATGTATTTCTGTAATTTAATAAGTTTGAACAAGATTTATCAATTTACCTCCTCCAAACTCCTACCGATATTATGTTTTTTAAAACACATTTTTATGTTGATAAGATTATTTTCTAAGCAAATATTAAATTTATGTTTGCATGAATAATTTTCCTTTCAATATTTCTTTCAACCATAAACAAAGTAAAAAATGTTTTTTCAGTCGACATCATCTCAACAATCTATTTACGGCGATCTTTTATTGGATAACTCTAAATGTCACGACATGGAAAAGTTATTTCTTGAGCACAAACTTAGACAACAACTTAGAGAATCCGAAGAAGACCAACGATGGCTTGCTGAATCAGAAACTAATTTGGTAATTAATTTTTACTTTTAATTTATGTCTTTTTTAACGAAAATTTATTAATTGTAGAAAAAAAGATTAAGTATTGCGCCCTCCCAAGAACTTGATTCATCGTCAGATTATCCGCATTCGATGGTCTCAATCCCCACTAGTCCTCTTTCAACGTACGCAAATTCGCATAATTTATCCAGTAGTTTAGGCAGCATGTCTTTAACCGGAAATGGAATACAAAGCGGAAACGAATCCCAATCGAGTAGTAAAAATCAATCTCCAGCTGGTTCTGCTACATCTACAATGACCCCAAAACAAGATAGATCTATTACACCAACGACTAGTTCTGATAATGAACGTGAAAAACCAAAGGTAAGAAAGAAATCAATATATAATCAAGAGTATAAAGGTAAATAAAGTAATTACAAGTATAAAGAGTGAATTAAGGACAAGAATATAAGAAAACATAATAACTTTTCCATGTAAAAAAAAAATTACTTTTGATTTATAATTCTTGTTATTTCCTTAAATCGCTTGGATTCTGGATGTTACATATGGAACCTGTATTATATCTAAAGCTTTATTGCGAACCTTGGGGTTGATGACCTTTCCATGAGGTCTTTGAGGTTCTTAGTAATATTAGATTCTAACTTAGTCACCATTTTCACTAATTTTTAAACAATTTATTTGTAATCTTCTTCCAATTAATTTTGGAACCAAACTTTTTCTGCTGAAGTTATTATAAGAACTTCCCGTTTAACGTTTTTTTTGTTAGGTTTTGCATTTTGAGCGATTATACGTGAAATGTAAGATACATCGAATCCTTTACATATATTTGAAGTTGCTGTTCTAAATAGATCAGTTATTTTGCTTCCTTTTTTTGTCAAAATCAACTTTTAACGTTTTAAGGTAATCAATATCTTTTTCTTTCTTGTCAAGATGTTTTCTATTTAAAAGCAGAACCATTTGCGATGGTTTCATTCCTTCATTAGAAAATACTTGATTGTATAGAAAACGCAATGGCAGTTGGCTGTAATGTGGTGAAATCACAGAATATTGACGGCACTTCTTTTTCACCGACATTATTGATGAGTTCAATCATATAATTAAATTACCTCAGAGGGTGAACAAAGAGTGAATAAACGGACTTAATAATAGTATAGAAAGCTGTAACTCTGTTATTTACATACCGATTTTCATGACACAGGTATCAAATGAAATGGTTTGATAAATACTATAATTCATGCTACAAATAAATTTTTCACAACGCCATCTTCAATTTCAAGCGCTAATTAACTTTTGTTTTTCAAATTGCTCGGTATGTTTTTCTTCACGCTATTGGATAGAGATTTTTTCCTAAATTTATATAAGTTTATCCTGAGTCCATATAATGTCTGAGTTATAATACTCCACCTATAATAATAACCAAGATAATTGCACTTGCTGGTTTTACGATATTTTCAATTTTTTCATCTAGGGGAAAAACAAAAGACGATAGCGCTTTGAGGTTTTTGGCATTAGCAGTTTCTCGAAAAACGAGATCATGACATGTAAGCTACTTTTTTTCTAAGTCTTATAGTTTCCGAGATAGCCTATTCAGACATCGAATTTGAACCACCCTGTACATTAAAACATTCCCTTAAAGTCACTTGTGTTATACTATAGTCATGGACTATGCCATGGGATAAATAAAAGAACAACTTATAAGTATCATTTACAACTGCTTCGGGCATTGAATTAGCATTTAATGACTGTTATCAGTTTTGCGTGTTATTTTTTTTCCATGGCACACTGCAGTATTACAGAAGTCACTAAGACAATGTTCAGAAAATGTTTTAATTGTTTTTCTTTGCTAAAATTACAATTAATGTTAATATATTGTACATCAATGGGTTCAGAAAAAAATCTCTATCTCATAACGTGAAGAAAAAGATACCGAGCAATTTGAAAATCAAACGTTGATAATCGCTTAAAATTGAAGATGGCGTTGGAAAAAGTTTATTTGTAGCATGAATCATAGCATTCACCAAACCATTTCATTTGATACCTTGTTCATAAAAATCGGAAGGTAAATGACAGAGTTACAACTTTTAAAGTTGAAAACTCACTCTTTCTTTTAACAACATATTAGGTGATAAATCGTAAACTTGATTTGGACTTGGTTCAGAAAGTTTTTAGAAATAAAAGCTGGTTTCAAACGAGTAATTTTTATTGTTTGATTTCTATTAAGTCGTGAAATGATGAAATTATTTGAAAATTTTCTAATGACTTTGAATGGTCCTTCGTACTTTGGTGATAAACTTATCTTCATATCCCGTCGGGGTCAACAAAATATGTGGGGGTTTTCTCACATATTATAAATAAAATAATAAGTATTTTTGAAAATTGATTTTGTATTTGTAAAAATAAATATTGACTTCCTTTGGCTGAAGTTTATTGAATAATAATAATCAATAAATGAAATTATACATAATAACGTAAAAAATGAATTATCGATTATTTGATTTTTGAAAAAGTAATCAATATGGCAGGGAATATGTGCAACGCCACAAACCCCAATAGGACTTTTTTCATTGATTACAACTTTATATCAGATTTGTCGTGATTTGTCTCATTGTAACAAACCCAATATGATATACAGTGCTAACGTAAAGGAAATGAATTTATGAATTAATCATATTTTATCAAAAAATATTTATAAAGAAAAAAATCAAAGTCAATATAAGAAATAAACTTTTGTTATCAAAGGTTTTGCTAGTATAGGTAACGGTTGAAAAATTGGCTTAGTGTTGTTATTGAATAAGTTATTTATTAAGAACAAACTATTAAATAAATTGTTCGATATAATTACCCTGACACTTCTTGGCGTGGTACCTTCTTTGGAGTGTTTCCTCTCTCACACGTCTCGACATGTGATGCAATGTGATGATCAATATTTTGGCGTCAATAATTTTTTGTTTTAAATCTTCAATACTCTCCAGCGAAATTTCATATACCTTGGATTTTAAATAACCCCATAAAAAGAAATCTAAAGGTGTCAGATCTGGTGATCTTGCTGGCCATTCAATCGGCCCACGTCGACCGATCCACCGTCCATTAAAATTTGTATCAAGATAATTTCGTACCATTGGTGAGGTCTTGATGAAACACCTATTCCATTTCAAAATGGTCATGATTGTGTTGCACAATTTGCAAAAGTCGTGGATTAATATCTTCTTCTAATAATCTTAAATACAATGTTCCGGTCAAATTTTCGGTTAGGAATATTGGTCCCACGATGTGATTTCCCAATATGCCTGCCCAAACATTTATTTTCTTAGGAAATTGAGTGTTAATTTCGCGATATTCATGTGAATTATCATCACTCCAGTAACGTACATTTTGTCGATGCAATTTTCCATTCAAAAAGAAAGCACATTTATCACTGAAATATTTGTTTCAGTGATAAATGTGCTTTCAAGTGTGATGGATTTCGTTCAACCATATTTGTCATTAGCTCACAAAATTCTGTTCTTCTATTAGGGTCGTCTTCTGTTAATTCATGAAGCATTTTAATTTTATATGGATGATATTTATTCTTCTTTAAATATTTCCGCGCAGTTGTTGGACTCACATCACACGTTGATGCGATAGCAGCAGACGACATCATGGGCGCATTAACTACTTCCGTTAATATCTGCACTTATGTAGCAGTGTATAAAATCTCATGTTGCAATTTCGTCTACTTTTCTTCTCTTCGCTTGTAATTCATCATCACATTCATTACTAATAGAACTGTCGCTGTTATCACTTTCAATTATTAATTAAAGTATCCTCTTTTTAATGCAAAAAGCCGTTTGGAAAAATCACTTTCAGTTATTGAGAAATAAATTTTTGAAATGATCGACAATTTTTTCGATGTTGCAATTTTCATCGATGATTTTCAAAATTCGCTATGAAAATTCATTTCTTGAAGGATCCTTGTGGAAATATCACCAATTATGAATTAAAGTCTCCTCTTTTTTATGCAATAAGCCGTTTTGAAAAAATGCTTTTACTTCTTGAGAAATAATTTTTGAAATAAATGACAGTTTTTTCAAATTTTGCAATTTTCGTCGATTAAATTTTAATAATTCGTATAAAATCGATTTTTTTGAATATGAGTATAAAAATTTCCCTTAATGTTAATAAAAGTGTCTTCTTTCCAATGTACCAACCCGATTTAAAAATACCTTTTAGTTTTTAAGAAAACAATATTTGAAGTTTTGATAAAATTTTCGATGTTGCAATTTTCATCGATAACATTCAAAATCCGCTATAAAATTTATTTCTTGAAGGATCCTTGTGGAAATAACACCAATTATTAATTAAAGTATCCTCTTTTTAATGCAACAAGCCGTTTTGAAAAATCCCTTTTAGTTCTTGAGTTCTTTTTGGAATAATCGACAATTTTTTCGAATTTTGCAATTTTCTCCGAGTAAATTTTAATAATTCGTATAATCGATTTTTTGGAATATGACTATGACAATTTCCCAAAATGTTAATAAAAGTGTCCTCTTTCTAATGAACCAACACGTTTTGAAAAATAACTTTTAGTTTTTGAGAAAACAATATTTTAAGTTTTGATAAAATTTTCGATGTTGCAATTTTCGTCGATAATTTTCAAAATTTGCTATAAAATTTATTTCTTGAATGATCCTTGTGGAAATATCACCATTTATGAACGTTTACAAAAATTACGTTCAGTTCTTGAATAAATAAATTTTTGAAATGATCGACAATTTTTTGGAATTTTGCAATTTTCGCCGATTAAATTTTAATAATTCGTATAAAATCGATTTCTTGGAATATGAGTATGAATATTTCCCAAATTGTTAAGAAAATTGTCTTCTTTCCAATGAACCAACCCGTTTTGAAAAATAACTGTTATTGTTGTAGTCCTTATTTCTTTCCGTTTTATTCTTGTATAAAATAAAGTACTTTTTCTGTTTTGTACTTTTATTAAAAATGGATTTTATTGTTTTTAAAATTCTACCGGTTTCCGTCTTTTTTACAAAACCATCTTCAGGAACCCTCGAATCTCGTCAATATACATTTTAAAATAAATTGACGAGATTGCACACCGTTGTATAGCGGCGTGCAAATTTAATGTTATCTAAGTCTTTGAGGTTGATAAGGAAGGATGAATTATGAAAATCAATCCTTTTGGCTTTAAATGAATTATTAATGTCTGTGACATATTTATGGGGAGAGACTTTTTTATTACAATTAAGAAAATTTGAGTAGCTTTTACTATTTGAAAGAGCATTCTCCACCTTACCCCCGACAATCTTATGAATATTCTTATTACTAGTCGAGTTGTTCTTCTTGTCTTTGGCCAATCTAATATTTTTTTTTTGATCTTTGTTTTTCATGGTAGTATTTGATGCTTCTTCGTAGAATTTGCAAAGGAGTTCGTCGTACTCTATGTAATGTAGCTGTGTTTGTAACGATCGGTGTAAATTGTTCACATCGAATATGCTTTCCCTAAACCCTGGAAAGACTGCCGTTGCGACCTTTTCACTTCGTCGACAAGCCGATGCCAATACTTCCGCTTCAGGGGATGAACAAAAATCCATAAGATTTTTAAGCATAAATCTCGACAAAAAATTAACTTTTAATCACCACACGCTGATGTTGCAATCATGCTCAGCAGAAATGTTTATGTATTACATATTCTGAGCAAAAACGTATCTTCATCTACGTTAAGAACCGCATATTTCACTCTGTGCCAGTCTGTTATTGCCTATGGGATACTGGTTTGGGGTGGTGCAGCATCCAGTGATCGAGTTTTTGGACTTCAAAGGCGAGCAATAAGGATACTTGATAATTTGAAATATAGAGATGACTGTAAAAACTCATTTGTTAAATTAAATATACTAACCTTCCCTTCATTGTATATATTAATATCATGTATATATAAATTTATCACGCACAAGGATGTGCACAACTACCAGACCAGAGGACGTGATTTGTTGGTGCCTGAGTATTGCCGGCTCTCCAGGAGCCAGAAGAGTTTCAACTGTTTGTCTCTCAAATTTTACAACAAGATTCCAGAGAGAATCAGAATGCTTTCATTAAACAAGTTTAAATATAGTATTAAGTCATTTTTACACAAAAAGGCCTACTACGCGTGCTCTGAATATTTGACTGACCAGATTATACTGTCGGATTTTAATCTGTAACCTATGTACGTCTTATGTGTACTTTGAACATTTTATAAGTTTGTTCTTTACTTTTTTGCTTTGCAATGTATGTACCTGACGAGTGTTAATATTTTTTATGTAACACAATAAACTTTGAATTTGATTTTAAATACTTCAGAATGGAGTTGTGGAAGGTTAATTTCTTATAGAGTGTTCTTAGACTTCAATCAAGATTCAATTTTAGACGTTCAGAAGAGTCAATTTTACTTCTAGTTCAAATTTTATGTGGTTGTATCAAATATCGCAATAATGTGGCGATATAGGGTATCACTTCAGAAATGCACCAGAAATTATAACCAGAATGGCCAGATAGATATGCCGGATAACCGGATATCCGGCCGAAGGGGATGCCGAATATCCGGCTTTTCGCAAAATCACTATCGGTTCCATCACTAAAAAATAACTATTAATTTTAATTCATTTAATTTTAGAGAGCCGAACCAACTCCAACAGCAGATTTGGATAGAACAAACGACAAAGTATATGATTGTACAACCCACGTTGTTAAAGCTGTAATGAAATTATCACAAGGAGTCCAACTATCGCACGCCGAAGCTTATTTAGATCACGTTAAAGAAGTCGGGGTTCAACTAAGAAATTTATTAGCAAGCGTCGATAGTATCGTCCCATTTTTTCCAATAACAGCGCATCGTGAAGTCGAATTAGCACATAAAGTTTTATCAAAAGATATGGCAGAATTAGTAAACGCGATGAAATTAGCCCAACAATACAGTAACACAACTTTAGATTCGGAATATAGAAAGTAAGATTAAAAAATAAATAATAATTTGTTTTATTAAACAATTTTTTTAGGGGTATGCTTGGCGCAGCTCATGTTTTAGCGATGGATTCGAAGAATCTCTTAGATGTGGTGGACGCGATGCGAATGAAATACCCGCAAATTAATCCTTTTTCGGGTGCTCCGCCCAATAACCAAAGCGAAATTTTCGAGAAAGATCCAGAAAATAGTATGTACCACGCGAAATTACCTCAACCTGTCAGTTGTACGTTTGTGCAGTATCCCGTTTTTACCCAAAACGTTTCTTCGAGTTCAACAACAACAGCTTCTAATGTCAGTCCAACACAAATCGTTGATAGTTAACTAAATGAAAAAAGAAAGTGAATAAGGAAAAATGAATTAACTTCCAAGTAACGTCCTCGAAATGATTTTAAAAAGATTAAATTAAAAAAAAATGAAATAAGAAAGTATTTAAAAATCTAGAAATTAATTTATTATTAGAGCAAACAAACTTCATGAAACATTCCATTAAAAAAAAAATATTTAAAAATTAATGTGTATGTAATGCATTAATTAAATTAATCAGCTTTTCCATAAATCTTTGTGTTCTCTCCATAATTATTATAACCGTAATACTCTATAAGCTATACCGGTTTTGAAGTTTTAGTTTCATACGTAGATGCTCTGTACCTTTTTTATTCTTGTATTTTTTTGTTAATTATTTATATATCTATATAAATGCCTAAATAAATATAATATGTGTTGTGTCTGTATGCTGATAAACAACAAAAAATTTAATAAAAAGCGCCATTAGAAAAAAAAAAAAAATTAAAGGGAGCAAAATTATATAAAAGAGGAAAAGATGCGAAATAGTTTGAATTTTACACCCGCAAAATTTGGAAGAAATAAGAAAATCACAAAGTCATCCATCGTTGTTCATTCATATCGATGTAAAACCGCTTTTTCTTTACGATTTCTACTTTTATCCTTAATTTTTGTTAACTTATAATTTCCGATAAGACTGTATATTGTAATATTTTATTACGATAAACCCGTATAGAGTGTTTTACGTGTTTTTTTACGTAATCTGTATAAAATAACGTCGAAACAAATTGAGCTGAAAATGTACCATATCAGTTGTTTTGATTATTTATTAAAAAAAATTTAAAGAGACTCCAACTTTTTTTCTGATTAAAGAAAAAAAATATAATTAAATCGTTTGATTACTATATTTGAAGAGTGTGTTCTGATTTTACTGTAAGTTATAGTAGATTTAATTTGTGAAGATCTAGTTAAACTTTTTGTACACAAAAATGTATTTGTATTATATTGTATATGTTGTGAGAGTGTTTTTTTTATTATTTTATTTCTGTATGATTTGTTTGCAATAAAAAAATGCAGATATTCATGACCATATCGTTTATATTTCTCCCAATTTTTTTAGTGACAAGTCAATTATAATTTTTTAGTTTTTCTTGGTGGATTCCACAATATATTGATCAAACTCAAAAAAAGAGCGACTCTAAACTCAATAGAGATACGACAATTTTATGAAAAGTGAACCCTCTTCAAGTTTGCGGCGATAGCTGTGAGGTGGTAGGATCAAGAGGATGAAAAGTAGTGTTAGTTGCACTTCAGTCATAAAAAGAAGAGCATGTAGAAGGTAGCTAGCTGGAAGAGTATATAATTTCTGCTTCTACTCCAGACACTGCCTGGAAAACTTGCGATCTAACCATATGCTGATAAAGGGGAGATTCGTTTTGTTACTTGGTACATGGAAATGAAAAAGTTATATAGGGCGTCGTCTATGTTTGCGTTTTCCTCCAATATTTTTCTCGCTGTTAACTCGATAGACTCATCATAGATGTCGATAGTACCGTACTTTTTCTTTTTCCGCGGGGTCTGTGCTGTTAAATTTGGAATTGGACGTGATGATACAGTTGCACGCTTCCTTTTTCCATCACCATTGTCTCCAATAGAACCTAGGGGTTGCTCAACGACAGTTCTTTCATCGTCGATTGAAACTTTTCCATTACAATCCAGTTGAGTGAACTCTGCGTTTTCACTACGAACAGATCCCTCGTCCTGACATTCCAAATTTTCACTCCTTGGTGGTTCTAGTATCAATACGTACGGTATCATTATACAATTAATACAACACGTGGCACGTACTGCGAGAAAAAGTGTACCACTGCGCTGCACGAGTTCGTGCAGACGCGAGGCGTGCTACGTCGCGTCGTGTGATGAATTTGCACCGTCCCATTAATTTCCTCTTGCTACAAAAGTACGTGCTGTGCTGTATCATTTCACACGTATCCTAATTTGCGCCTACCCTAACAGGCATAACAAACCTTATCTGGACTTCCCGTATGCAATCAGAAAAAGGAGCTATCAGGTTTAGTTTCAACGTTTTTTGCCTTATAATAGCAAAAAGCATGATGGCAGGTTCTCTTACGGCATTTATGACGGCGTTTTAACGGCAGAGATCTTTTTGACAACCTTAACAAGAAAATAGTATAAAATTCGTGCGATTTTAGTGGTTTCAACATACCCGACACATTACACTAGTCTACAAAAAAAATCATAAAATGTACATTTGACGCCACTGTATTTTTCTTATGGAGTTTGGTCACCTAAACCCAAAAATCACATTTAAAATTTTTTCTATGGATACGTTTTGGAGCTATGATTTTTATTTGGGGTTAGTTTGACTATTTGCACCATATCTCGAGATGATCTCTTGATCTTAGACATGACCGATCCGGTCGTGCTATTCATCAAATTAAAGAGTATTGCATAGCCAATAAATGGTATTGTCACCAAGTACGAATTGAGCGCCGTTCGATCTGCTTGGCCATTGGTCGTCAACCCTACCTACGGATCGGACGGTCGCCAACCAACCACAACGCCCGGTTGATAGGGTTTTACCCAAGGGCGCCTATTTAAGGCGGCCGGGTTTCCATCAGCGGTCAATTCCAACCGAACTCCGAAGCGACAACAACAGCGACAACGATAACAGCGACAACAAGCCAGCACTTTAACTGCCAATTCGAAGACGACCCCTTTCGTCTTAAAAAAACCTTTGAGGGTTTTTTTTTTGTAAATAAATTATTTCGTTTTATTCAACAACTGTTGTTTCTTCTTCGGCGCAATCCATCCCCCGTAACAATTGGCGCCCAACGTATGGCCCGATAATGCCAAAAGGACCAACAACGAGAAGCCGTTCATTGTCGACACGGCCATATCCGACGAAGGAAGATTTGGCAAGCTCTTCAGAAGAAGAGGGGCCCACCCAACCGATTAAAGAAGAGAAGAAAGGAAAAGAATCCCAAACTCAGAAGATGGGGAAGACCACCGAAGAACCGAAACAAGACAGTGCGACCGTTCAGACACAGGTTTGCGCCCTGTCAAAGTTATTGGCCGAACATGTCTGCATCCCAAAAGCCGAGCCCCCGTGCTTCACCGGCGATTCCTTGGAGGATCCTGCAGAATTCATCAAGGTAATAAAGACATATTTCACTGACACCGGCATTCCATCAGCGGAACAAACAAAGAAAGCGACCAGTTTTCTTCGAGAAGATGCCGCTGTGTGGTGGAGTGCATTCGATGATTTGGAGATGTCCTTCGCGGAATTTCACCAAGCGCTGTTGGAAAGGTTCAACAGTCCGCAAATATTGGCACAAGTCAACGGCCAATATTTCAGCCGCCATCAGCAGACTGATGAATCGGTGCAGGCGTTTTTGAAACGCAAACACCTGCAAGCCCGTCGTCTGCACCGAAAACCGGACGACGACATTGGAATGATGGTTGCCCTGCTGCTACCTCAGCTACAGCTGCACCTGTCCCCCACGCCGGCCAACATACACGAGTTGCGACACAAAGCAATTCGCACGGAGGCGCTTCTGAAGAAGTCGGGCCTCCTCAAACAACCCACAACACCATCTCCAAAGGGTAAGAAGACTCCTGAAGGGGACAACGAGGACCCCAAGAAGAAGGTGCCCCGATGCTGGTACTGCCCCGGGTACCATTGGAACCGTGACTGTCCCCTACAACGCAGCACCGGTTCGGGAAACGAAACGGCGGCCGTTCGCCCAGGACAACCCGGACGGCCGCAGTAATCTCCACATTGGAGGAACCTGGTTGCTTGTNGTGCTACAGACCGATGCCAGCGGGAAGGGAATTGCCGCGGTCCTCTACCAAGAACCGGGAAGGAAGATCATCGCATTTGCCAGCGCCAAGTTGTCTCCCACTGAGCAGCGCTACCATGCTAACGAACAGGAATGCTTGGCAGTCGTCTGGGCGATGCGATTTTTCCGACCGTACCTGGAGGACAGAAGATTCACCCTGCGCACCGACAGTAGAGCATTGTTATGGCTTGACACCATGAAGGACCGGAACGCCAAGTTAACCCGGTGGGCGCTCCTTCTTCAGGAATATAAATTTGACGTACAACACGTCCCGGGGGAACAGAACGAACTCCCGGACTTTCTCTCGCGCCAACCCGGGCATGAGCCAACGACTCCTGCGGGTCACACAGCTGACGTCGACCGGATGTTTCTTCCACCATCCGCCGAACAAGAACCAAAAAACGTCCGACCCCACATCGCATGTGTCGAATTCCCTGGGCTAGCAGACGACTTAAAAGACAGTCAACGACGAAATCCCCACAGCCAAAACCTGATTCGTACCCTGGACGGAATCAACGAGGCGGGTCCCGCAAACCCGGCGGAAGCTAGAGTCGCCGCCCAGTATTTAGTGCATGATGGGCTTTTGTGGAGACGACATCCCGATGGTAACCGATTGATCGTGCCACAGGACATGCACGACCAGGTGTTGCACGCCTACCATGACGCGTCCACCGCAGGCCATCCCGGAGCTGAGGAAACCACGAGGGTCATCCTGAGGAAATACTGGTGGCTCGGCGTAGAGGAAGACGTGGCCAGACACGTCCGGGATTGCTGGGCCTGCTCATCGCTCAAGCGGGGACCCCTACAGGAACGGGCTCCATTACGACCACGAGCGCCCACACAACCATGGGAAGTTTTGGCAGTAGACCTCATGGGCCCATACGTGAAAACACGAGATAACAACAGGTTTGTGTTCGTTGTCACCGACCTGTTCAGTCGATGGGTGGAGGCGTTTCCGGCCGCTACCAGCAGCGCTCCGAAAATCATAAATATCCTGGAGAGTGAGGTGTTTCCCCGGTATGGTTATCCAAGGGCCATTTTATCCGACAACGGGCCTCAGTTTACCAGCGCCAACTGGGACTCCGCGCTGAGACGTTGGGGGTGCCACCACTGGACGACGCCGATATACCACCCTCAGGCCAATCCTGCGGAGAGGAGGATTCAAGAAATAAAGAAATGCATACGGATCCAACTCCAGGGCATAAATCCAACGACCTGGGATCGACACATCAATCGGGCTCTATTCAACGTTCGGTCACGGCGCAACGCGGCGACAAGAGAAACCCCCGCCGCCCTGCTGTTGGGATACGAGTTACCGCGACCTGGGGAATGGTTTCTTGAGGGCCCCCAAGATGGTCAACAGCCAGCGGCAGGACGGGCCGAGAGAAGAAGACGAGCGCACAGGAACGAGCACCGATACCGCCAGCGATACGCTGGGGCTGTACCACCACCCAGGCGGTTCCTGCCAAGGCAGCTCGTAATGGAGCGGGCTCATGTAGCGACGCCGTTTGGTCCTCGTTGGATAGGACCCCACATGGTTATAGAGGAGGCCGGACCTACAACGTACTGGATCCGCAGACACCAGACTGCAGAGCCCAGCAAAGTCCACATCAATGACCTACGTCTGGCTCCTCCACCACATCGACACCCACCTGCGCAGCCCGAACCAGCGCCTTGAGGGAGGGGGTGTCACCAAGTACGAATTGAGCGCCGTTCGATCTGCTTGGCCATTGGTCGTCAACCCTACCTACGGATCGGACGGTCGCCAACCAACCACAACGCCCGGTTGATAGGGTTTTACCCAAGGGCGCCTATTTAAGGCGGCCGGGTTTCCATCAGCGGTGAATTCCAACCGAACTCCGAAGCGACAACAACAGCGACAACGATAACAGCGTTGTTTAACAGCAGCGACAACAAGCCAGCACTTCAACCGCCAATTCGAAGACGACCCCTTTCGTCTTAAAAAAAACCTTTGAAGGTTTTTTTTTGTGTACATATTTTGTAAATAAATTATTTCGTTTTATTCAACAACTGTTGTTTCTTCTTCGGCGCAATCCATCCCCCGTAACACTACCCCTCTAAACTACTAAACGTAACCACCCCCATTCAATTTATGCCTAGATTTTTTTTATGAAGATAAATACATTGGAAAAATTTCAGTTAGATAGATAAAACTATTCTAAAACTTTTTTGTCTCTCTGATTTTCTTCGAAAATTTAATAATTTCTGAGAAAAAAAATAATTAAGCAAACACTAACTGTTAAGCTGTAGGGTTGTTAATGGAAAGTTGGAATGAATTTTAAATGAAAAAATCTTAGTAGGCTTTGCAATCTTTGTCAGAAATATTTTTGACGTTTAAATGTCAGTGGTTTTCGTACGATTATTATTGTTTTATTTAAAATTTTGAAACGTCGAGTGAACGAGCGCAAATGCGATAGAACTTTATTTAAAAATTTATTTCAAAAACAATAGTAATAGTAAGAAATCCACTGACATTTAAACGTCAAAAATATTTCTGACAATTGATTCCAAAGCCTACTAAGATTTTTTCAATAAAATTCAGTCCCATTGGAGGAAATTTCCAAAAAAAATCACCCCCATCGGACTTGGAATATTTCGATATCGCAAAATAATTTATACGGCTAGAACTTTTTTATTTCAAATCCGAAACCCCAACGGTTCATAAGAATAATCGGTAGAGCTCGTTTTTTCATTTGATGTTTTCGCTATGTTAATTAATGGAATTATTTTTTATTTTCACAGAAAACTCTAGAACTCTTTGGGGGCTATCATAACTATAGTTATTTATTTGAAATTTTGAAAATCTAACTTCACAGACATTAATTTATATACCTTACCTCATATGGATACTATATATTTTAGTGTAATGAGCCATCAATTATCGGTTGAGAGGGAAAGTGTGAGTGCCCCAAAACCAAAATTACATGGTAATAGGATAGTAAATATACAATTTTTTTCTGAATGTTTATTAAAGATTCAATATGAGCATTTAAAAAAATGTACGTTTGGAAAACTAACTGTAGATAACGAAAAGCGCGATGGATTGTCGACTGATGTCATATTAACCTGTGAGGCATGTAACAAAAAATTCGTGTGTTCCACATTCAAAAAAGAACCACTATCACTGAATGTGTCGTTGGTATGGGGTACTATTGTGAATGGGGGTACTTATACACAAACCGACCACTTATTATCCACATTAGAAGTCCCCATGTTAACGAAGTATACATTTTGTAAAATACAACGAAAATTAAGTGCTTCATGGGAGGAACAGCTGTGGTTGTCAATGGAGGCAGCAGGTAGAGAGGAATGTCGGTTAGCCATGGAAGCAGGTGTCGTTGATGTGGAAGGAACTCCATGGATAACTGTATACTGCGATGGTGGCTGGAGCAAAAGATCGTATGGCCATAACTGTAACGCAGCATCTGGTGTGGTAACCTTACTTGCAACTACTACCTTTGAAACTGTAATATTTATTGTAATATATTACAGGGTGTCATTATTGGCAAGCGCACTGGCCAATTACTGTTTTTAGGGGTAAGAAACAAATATTGTTCTATTTATGCACGTGCCCATAATTAAAATAGTATAACACCTATGCATCATTGCTTCAAAAACTGGGAAGGGTCCTCATCTGCAATGGAAGCAGACATTATCGTTGAGGGATTTTCGCAAAGTCTTAAAATGCATGGGGTGAGGTATTTGAAATTTGTTGCTGATGGGGATTCTAGTGTGTTTTTTCAAATTCAAAAAAAAGTTTCATATGGAAATGATGTAGAAAAAATTGAATGCAGTAAACACGCTATTAAAAATTATGGAAAGTCTCTCCACAAAATAAAGAAAGACACCTCTATAAATATACAGGGACGAAAACACCTTACCACAGTCATTATAAAAGAACTTCAAAGGAGTGCTCAGAAGGCCATGTACAATTGTAAGGGGGATGTGGTACGGCTTCAACAAGAGATGTCGAACTCTATCAATCATGTTTTTAAAGACCACGTGTTGTGTTCTGAATCATGTAATGATAGAGGTAAAGTAAATCCTGACGTAATTAATCATTTGAGGTCAACAGGAATTTTATACCATATTAGGGGTATGACAATACCAATAAAACGTTGTATTAGCCTTAATATTTTTGTCTAAATGTAGGTGCAATGGAAAATTTATTGAAAAAATGTCATAAATTGGTGAATAATGAAACCAATAACAAAGCCGAACTATACATGTCCCTGTTAGCAAAGCTTAACTGTGGGAAAAGATTAAATTTAATACAGAGAGGATCTTTTCAATCGCTGGCACACATTGCAGCTGTAGGTTATAACACAGGTATTTTTCTGCAACACGAAAACACGAGAATTATTATTGTGATGTATACATGATTTAGTATACACATGAATTAATTTTTGTTCTGCAGGTTATAGATGGCAAACGCATTGTCTACAGAAGGCTGGTGGTGGTAAGGTTGGCTATCGGTTTCTTCAATATATTGATAAATATGAGAAGATTAGATGCCGGAAACCGTCAATGAAAAGAATGCCACCAGTTTCTTCTAAGTGTAAAAATAAGGATTACGGTCCAAATGTTTTACAAGGAAAGCTTTCTTCGGCAGAGATAGCTTCGGAATCTGAAAGAATCTTAGTTTCGTTGCAGGTCTCGTATAGTTAATTAATTTTTTTTTTCAGATAGTACTAGTTTTATTAAAGAGTTATTTTGTAGTGTAGATTTTATTTAGTAAGTAGTATGTGTATTGTTAAGTATCGTTTTATTAAGTCAACAGGTACTCGTCTTGAATTGATAATCAATAAAGGTATGTGTCATAATGGTATTGTATTGTTATACAGTATTTTCATATGTTGATATGTGACTAACTTAATTTTTTTAATAGGAACTAATACCTTAACCACTCTTTTGTACAAGTAGCGCTAAATAGTATTATTACAACTGTAAGTATGTACGTAGCTGAATATATTATTTGTTCTTGTCACATCAAAATAATATTTAAATTGCAATGTTAGGTAACACAAGAACAACGTTGTGCAATCGCAAAGCAGACTATTGGGCAATATAACTCACAAATCTATATGCATGAAAAGAAACGGCGCTTAACAGCTTCAAATTTTGGTGTGAAGTAGTTAAGAGGCGGCAAACAACTACATCAAAAAATCTGCTACACCGGCTCCTATACCACCAACCTTTTAAAAGTGCTGCGATGAAGTACGGTAGTGAAAAGGAGGTGGTAGCACGTACAAAGTTTGAAAAGGAATTTGGTGTAGCAGTAATGCCTGCCGGTTTGTTTGTTGACATTGAAAATGGATTTTTAGGTGCATCACCAGATAGTAAATTTCTTTATCTGCTTTTCTGTACCAGAAATAATAAGATTCTTTTTTTCTGGTAGGACTAATAAGCGACGACGCAATTATAGAAATTAAATGTTTATACAGTGTCCACAAATCCAGGAAGACATTGCGCGAAGCCATTGCGATAAAGAATAATAACTTATGTGTACAAATCGAAAATGGAAAAATACGCCTTAAGAGGAATCACAATTATTTTTACCAATTAAGTATTTTGCTTTTATGCCAAGATATATCCAAGGTGATCAAAAGTAGAGCACCAATCTGAATCCTTATATAGAACTTTCAATTTCAAGTTGAAATGAAACAAAGAAATTTTGAAAAAATAATTTTGGAAAAGTTATTTTCCGATCAGCTCGAGATAATCGTCTTCTAAGTTTCATTTTCAGGCGTAACAACTGCGCCTGCTTTAATAAAAAAGAAAAAGGAACTAATATTTCTGGTAGAAAAATTGAAAATTGACTTCAAAGTTTCGAAAACAACCCGATCGGAAAAAATTTTATTTTTACAATGCTATATTACACAATTACCTCATGTTCTAATAATTTTTTTGTAATTCGCTCGGTAATGGAAGCTATAACAGTACTCAAACGGGTGCTGTAATGAGACTCCTTACAGCATCCGATGCTGTAATGAGATTTTAGTAACATTTTATGGAACCAGTTCAAGTTGGTGACATTGGGTCATTAATTTTTCTAGTTGTCAATGTGACAATGTTTGTCTATGGATGTTTAAACACGTTCTTAGCATCGAATACAAAGTACACAATGATGAGGACATTGACTCTGAGCAATTTCTCTTATTTTGGGAGGTGTACATCAAACATTTTTTTCAGGTGAATATATTTTGTGTTTTGACAGTTTCTAATTGTCAATTCAAAGTTTCTATTTTCAAGTGTTCCGGTGTTACCAACTGCTACATACCTATTTCCCTACATTGCCAAAATTTACTTTATTTTTGTTAAAAAAAGTATCAAAACGCGAATTACAAAAAATAGCATAAAAAACACGTTTCATAAGACTTAAAGCACTCATTCATTAAAATACTCGTGGCTTTGCCCCTCGTTTTTCAACTTGAATTCGTGCATTTCAAGCGTGTCTTACGAAACTTGTTTTTTAATATACTATTATAATTTTATTAGTATTTTTTCTTATTTCAGGTACAAGGGCAACTAAACATATGTCAAAGGCAGCGATGCTACTTTGTAGTGTATATTAACGAAACAGAGCCGTTGTTTGTAGAGGTTATAGAACGGGATGAAGAAATATGGAAAAATATTATGTTGCCAAAATTAGTTGTATTCTACAAGGATGAAATGCTACCTGAAATAATACAGCCTACAATGAAATAAAATATAATCTTTTATACTTTCTTTTCTTTTATTACCTGAGTATATAATAGTTTTGTTCCAATAAGCGTCGGAACTCGTCAGTTATAGCCGCACCTGTTAAGTAATGTAATGAAATCTAATGAAATATAACTGCATTATTGACGTGTGCGAATATAACTGACGAGTTTCGCAGGAGTTCCGACGCTTGTTGGAACAAAGCTAATATATTAACAAAACAAAATAAAAAAATATAAATAATGTTGGAAATGAATTAAGAAGACTTGAAGAATTCTATTTTTGGTGTCCGCTCGAACAATACATCATGAAACTTAAAAGTTAAAATAATAAAGCAATATTTTATTCTTTAAATATCGCCATCTATAAGACGATTGCGAAAATATCAAAGTTAGGTTGTTCAGCAGATTCCCTTACATATTTCAATAATTACGTGAAAATTGCACATTTTTAGATAAAACACAATCCCGAGATAACAACAAATCTATTATACTTGCACTGTCACGGAATCTCTTCTTATATTACACATCTAGTGAATGAAGCATTGTCACCTCGTTTAAGTGCTTAATTTGTCATAAAAGTCTGTTTTTATTACGCCCTTTTTATAACAAAGTTTAGTAATTTATTATTGTTAATATAACAACTATTTTACAAAATAAATTATGTCATTCACTACTACAATATGTGTACTTCAATCCTATGTATTTACTTTTCTGTAATAATTTGGCATAAAGTCATAATTGTGTTAGAAAGTAACCTCTATCGGCCTGTATGGGCCCATATAAAAATGGCCATTGAGCGGTGACCTTAAACAAAATAAACCCCCTAAAAAATAAACAATCCTGCGAGTATGAATGACTAACCCGTCTAATATACAAACTGTTGCGAGATCTTGTGTTATAGGTATGTATGTCGGATACTTTTGACACTTGCAAATATCGAGGTAACAAATTATTAACCAATTTATATACAAAACATATATTTAACATATCTCAGTTTCACAGAATAAAAGCATAATGGGTCTAACATATCATTAATTCTAGTAAACATATTACAACCCAAAATCGCTCGCATGGCCCTATTTTGTATGATGTGTAAACTTTGCATTTCCGATTTCCCAGCATAATAAACAATTGTAGGATAACACTCAAAAATCGTGCTAAGTAATGACTTATACACCACAATTCGAACGTTTACAGATAACAACCTGCAAATTCCACAAAAATAATTCACTTTCTAATCTTTAACATTATCAATAACATTTGCGATATGGTATTTAAATTTGAGATCTTTATCAATAAATACTCCTGTTACTCCTTATTAATGGATGTTCATTTTCCAGGTTCTTTGCAAGATTTTTCAATGCTTCTACACCAAGTGGAATTTAACAACTCTCCTAGCAGCCAGGACTGGCAAATAGCTAACCAGGTTGTAAGGAATGAGTTGGTAGAGTGGGCCGTTGGCAGTTTTGAGCCCTTCAAAACACCCGGACCCGACGGTATATTTCCTGCTCTTCTTCAATGGAGTCTAGAGGATATGAAAATACACTTGATGAGAGTTTTTGAAGCCTGCTTAGCCTTTAACTACGTTCTCATCAGCTGGAGGAAAGTTACAGTAACTTTTATACCAAGAATGGAAAAAAGGACCCAGCGGATCCTAAAGCCTTTCGACCAATTAGTCTCTCATCATTTCTTTTAAAGACGCTTGAAAGACTATGTGATCATTACATTAGAGAGAATGTACTTAAAGGGTTTCCTTTGCATTTCAACCAACATGCATATATCAAAGGTAAATCTGTGGATAGCGCCCTACACATGGTAGTGGGGCGCATCGAACAAGCACTTGATTCGGAAGAGTCCATTCTGGGAACTTTCCTTGACATAGAGGGAACGTTTGACAAAACCACCTTTAGTAGCATTAACCTGGCACTGGAATCTCGAAGAGTGCCATCGGTCATCGCGGGCTGGATCAAAACAATGCTAGCAAGCAGAGTTGCTCAGGCTAAGGCGAAAGGACACACAATACAGAGAGCTGTGGATAAGGGTTGCCCACAAGGTGGGGTACTCTCACCGCTTCTCTGGTGCTTAATAGTTGATGATCTCATTCGTGAGTTAAATAATAAATATCTCTTCACAGTTGGTTACGCCGACGACGTGGCTATCTTGTTAAGAGGTAAACCTGACAATTTTCTTTGTTACAGAATGCAGTAGGCGCTTAAACTCGTTGAACGACGGTGTGAAGAACATACCCTCTCTGTCAATACTACAAAGACAGAGACTGTTCTCTTCACTAAACAGAAGAAACTGGGACACTTAACGCCACCCAATTTCTGCAATAATCCATTAACCTTTGCTCCAGAGGTGAAATATCTGGGTGTTATCTTGGACAAAGCACTAACTTGGACATCACACATTAGTTGCAAAACCAAAAAAGTAACGATTGTACTGACTCAGTGCCGAAGGGCTATTGGGAATACTTGGGGATTAAATCCGAAAGTTACGATGTGGATCTACACTTCTGTGATAAGACCCATGGTAGCTCACGGAGCCATAGTTTGGTGCTCAGCACTAAACCATGCATATAAAGCTACATTGCTGCTAATCACAGGCGCTATGAGATCTACACCTACGATTGCGATGGAGACTATGCTAAACGTATTGCCCCTAGATATTTTTATCAAGGAGGTGGCCGTGATGGCATTGCTTTAGTTGCGACCAGTAAATGAAAAGCAGGTTGTTAAAATGGGAATAGTCCGGAGCAAGCTCTGAAGTGAGGCTGTTAGCAAACAACCCCTCCATAAAGCTCGCACAGACTACATTACACCTACTTTCTTAGGCAAGCCACACTTTGGCATTGAAACGATACCCCAGAGCAACTCAAGCTCGGGCAAAACGCTGTCCATCTACACTGATGGATCAAAGAAGGCTGGAGGTTCCGGAGCGGGAATTTTCTCGCACGATCTCCAGCTGCACCTTTCCACTTCGTTAGGATCGTATTGCACGACTGCTCAAGCCGAATTAATTGCTATAAACATAGCAGCCGATGCGATTATCGACTCCAAAAAAGTCGGCAGAAACGTTGTAATCTGTACTGATAGCAGACAGGCTATGCTGGCGGTTGGCAGGCATCACACTGCATCATCGTTGGTGAAGTCCTGTCGGCAATCACTCGAAGAGGCAAACGTATACAACAACATCACGATAAAATGGCGAAAAGGACACATCGGAATTAAAGGACATGATCATGCGGACAGGTTGGCGAAACGGGCGGCTAACAAGTCACCGATCTCCCCTGAACCGTTTGTACCACTAGCTGTTAATACAGCATCGAAACTGATAAACTCCACCTCCCACCGAGCTTTTTGCGACAGATGGGATGGGACAGCAGTAGGTGCCTTTGCTAAGAAAACTCTGCTCTACCCTGACCGGAAGACATCTACTCAGTTTCTGGGAAAATCGAAAAGTGACTTGAGGCTTCTCACCCACTTCCTGACCGGACACTGCAGGTTACGTAAGCACATGTTTTACATGAAGCTGGCAAATACACTCCTCTGTAGAGACGGTAAGTCATTTTGTTTGTGACTGTCCAAACCTCGCGTACATAAGGGAATCTATTTTCGTAGTACCATGGCTCCAAATTTCGGATATAAAGAACATACCTCTCTGTTCTATATTAACGTTCATGAAAAGATTGGGCTGGTTTTCTGACCCTTGAATGAACAGTAAATTGTGGGGACGTACAAAGGGTCCGCTGGGGCCTAAATGCTGTGAGTAATTCACCCCCACGTGAAACTACTACAAACACTCCTAGGTATTTTATAATATTTACATACTCAATCACATCACTGTTTAAAGAAACCTCATTAAAACAATTAATTCCGAACTGACCGAGAACCATAGGTTTAGTTTTACCAGTATTCACAATTACTTTATTAACGATTAGTGATTTTTCCAAGTTACGCAAGATCACATTCATTTTATCTGTAGCTGAATCGATGCTGCTGTCTTCAACTGCTATAAGTGTGTCGTCAGCAAAAAGATTTATTAGGGCCTCACCATTACAGACGGATACGATGTCGTATCCGTATACGATACACAAGGAACTCCATAAGTTGTTCCTATTTCTGTAGATAGTACATCCCCAAATTTTACCTGTTGAACTCGATCGTTAAGGTAGCTTCTAAACCACATAATTGTCCTACTTAAACTCCAATACATCGTAGCTTATGTAGCAATCATTCTCTATCTACCGTTTCGAAGGCTCATTTGAAATCTAAAAAGACAGCTAATATAATCTTGTTTGGTGTATCCAATACATATTTCGATTTAGATATAATCAGTTGTAATGCAGTCTCACAAGAATGGCTCTCTCGGAACCCCGATTGATAGTCAGAGAGCACTTCATTGCGAGAAATAAAATCTTTCAACTGTTTATGGATCACTTTTTCCATAATTTTAGCTGATAAAAGAATTGTATTGACAGGACGTTGATTTTCGCATTTTCTCGAATTTTTAATTTTTGCTACAAGAATTATTGTAGTCTTCTTCCAGATCTTAGGAAAAACACAGTCTCTTATAGAAAAGTTCACGATCAGTAAAAGTTGATTTATTATCAAATCACCACCGATTTGAATAACCTGCTTATAGTGGCGTGGTATACTATATGTGGCGTGATGTGGCCCGAGTCTCTACCGTAAGAAGACGAGCCGCCAATGAGTTACCCGACAACGTCGCGGCTCTGATTATATCCATTGTAACATGAGTTTGACATTTCAAATCCCATACACTATGATTTACATCTAGCTTTGTTTGAAAATTTTGCAAACTTCTACAATCCTCGGACTTATAATCCTCACTACATCTCGCGCATGCCAATGAACATGTTTCAAACTTGTGACCGAAACTTAGGCATCTATAGCAGCGCAAAACGCTAAAATGCTCCACAACACGACAATTCAAAAGTCCAACCTTAATCCTGCCATACTTCATAAGTGTTGCAAACGTCGTTGCATCACATTCAAGAATAATATTTAAATAATTAGATTTCTTTTTAGTTATATACAATATTCTCATGCTAAATTGAGCCAAACTATCGTCTATGTCGTTCTGATCAATATATGTTTTTGAATCATATTATTGTCCACACACCTTCATTAACAAAAGACAGTACTTTTATACGCTGTTTTATTTTCTTCTCACCCATATCCGTTGAAAGTTTTTGCTTTATACTTTCCAATTCATGTTTGTTTTGACATTCGAGAAGCACACCACCGGTTTTACCACTGTTCGAACTCGTACATTTTTTAAGACACGTGACTCAACTGTGTTTACTAAATTTTTACGTGTTTCATTTAGAGAAGACTTATTCACATTATTTACACCACTTTGTTTATTTTTGATTGTTGATGTTTGTTTTTGCGTAAGTTGTGCTGAATTAGACATATTATCCATATTACTAGCTTGTTCATTGTGTTACCCTTTTAAGGTTAGTTTACATTTATGATTTTTAAGGCACTTCTGATGGCAGTCAGGCTTCTGATTGCTGTTTTACCACATCCTCCTGCACACATTACATCACGATCATTTGTATCTTGTTTGTTATCAACATCCAAAAGCGGAGCGGCCAAAACACCTCCACTCTTAGCCGCCATTCTCACTATCTTCATTATCATATCTTCATGAAAAACACATTTGGCAACATTAAGAACAACATTTTAACATTCAGATTTTCGATTCAGAGTCGGTCGCAGAATGTCGCTACGTGTAGATTATCCACCAATTTTTGAACATTCTGTATATGTATAAACATTTCGTATCATTAACAAAATATATATTATGTATATTTGGCACTTATTAAATCGTTTGCTCAAAAACGAATTTCGTTTCCATGGGATCATTAAAAGATTATAAATGACTTTTCAAACAAATTTCGTGATTAATACAAATTTATAATTATTCTTAAGCTTTTTGTATTTCTGACTCATCCTGTATAATGTTGAACCAGTCTATATACATATTTTTTAATTTATTCCTTATTGTACATTCTGACGTATATATTAATCCCAAATAGTTTGCAATACAATGGCCTTTACAACGTAATTTAACAGTAACTTCAGGTAGAGTGACACACCAAAGAATCTTTGACATTCTTGCATAATTCATTCTAATTGTTGAATTAAATCAGGCGCAAACTCTCTATGCAATCTAAACAATTACTTTTCATTCTTAACTTTAAAAGATTTATTGTTCTCCCATTATTTATTAATGGTTGAAAAATTAAATAAAAGATGAAGCGAATTTTTCGTCCATAGGTGGCACTACTATCAAAAAGATACAAATTTCAAATTACAAAACTTAAATACATCAATTATATGTATTTTTAGAAGTAATGTTAAATTTAGGACGATTTTTTTGTCAGTTTGATATTATCAATAAATATTTCTTTTATCGGAAATCAAACTTACCTCAATCCATTAAAAGATGGCGCCAACGATCTAACAAACGTCAAATTTCAAAACGTAAACAAATTAAGAATTTATTAAGTAAATGAATAATTTTAGATGTTTTAACCATCTTATATTAATAATTTTAAAAGAACAACGTTTTTATCCATATTTGTGATCTTAAAAGTTGCAGGTGAACCAAAAGTTTATAAAAAAAATTGTTTTTTGAGGTTGTCTTTTTTTCAGACTTATTTATTCAACGTAATTTTAACCCATTCAATGAGTTTACGTTATTTTACGGAGTGTTTAATTAATTGTAAGTAACTCGTGGAGGGGGACAAACAAAACTGCAAATATAACCAGTGCAAAAAAAATGTTATTGAAAAAGAGGTAAAATGAAAAATCTGTTTAATCAATTTAATATAATATAAAAGTATAATAAAATGGGGTCTTGGACACATATTTTCGAGAATAAACTTTGAACAATAAATTGAGGAAGACATGTATTAACCAATTGACGAGTAAAATTAGTTGAGGAACGGCGCAAACTCTTCACTCTTTTCTCTTCTAGGTGCTTGATCAATACGCAGTGCATATGAAACCACGGAGAATTAGGTCAAGTTATTAAATCTGTGTGGTTACAATCAAAGAAAAAATTACAATGAATTTCGTTGTAAATTTTATCGTTGTGGGTGTGGCATTTATGGCTTTTATTGAAAAAGGTAAGTTAATAAGTTATATTTAAATTTTTTTTCGAGGTTATGTCAAATATAAAATGATTTATCCGAAAAAATAATTTCAATTTTAATATATATATAAAAAACTTACCGTTCATTTAGTTGTTTTGTGCCAAAATTTCTTAAAGTTGGTGACAAAGCTTAAAATTAATATTTTTAAAACTTAAATTTGACGTTTTTTGTTGCAATTGTACCAACTGTAAAAATTAAATTAATTTGTATTGATTCGTTTAAATAATTATTTAAAATAATTAAAGAAGTTAATAAATTAAGATTAATGGAAAGTTTATTAATGTAATTGTAAAAAAAGTTTAGAAATAACAAGTAATTATTTAATAAAAAAATATCTTAAATTGACATTTTCCGCGTCAATGTCATTCGTGTTTTACACAAAAATTTTACAGTGCCCCACAAAAGTATTCGGAAAGTCTTGTTTTCACCCAAAAAATGCAAAATACGGTGTTTATTATTTCGATTTTGACATAATAAAAGCATTCTTTTATTACAAATAAAGTCTCATATCTTAGACAGAACAAAAATATGATATTAACCTAACTTATACATTAAACTGTTATGAATATAGTCACAAAAGTATTCGGAAATTTAAAACACAGTAGGCTATGTCGGTTTTTTTCTAAAATTCTACTACATTAGCAGACAAACACGCATTGCTGTAGGTTACCTATTCAATATGAATGTAAAGTTTTGGTGAATCATTTTTGATTTAATTAAATACGGAGAGTGGTGTAAAAAATGGGAAGAAAATCAAAAGCGACCACGAAAAGATAGACTTAAAACAGCAATAGTCAAAGAATGGGAAAAAATATCAGCCGAGAGAATACGAAAACTAGTGTTTTCGATGCAGAACAGATTAAGAGAAGTTATTAAAATGAAAGGATATGCTACTCGATATTAATTAATAAAAAAAAAGGTTTTACTGAACTAGTTTATTTTTTTACGAATACTTTTGTGACGTGATTCAACCTCATTATTTAGTTAAACTGCTGTTTTTTTTTGTATTTATGTTGAGAAAAAGTTTAGTTTTTACGTTTCAATAAAAGTTTATACCACTATGAAATAATATTGATTAAGTTTTTGTTTTAAATGAAAACTTAAGGAAGTTGTTGTTACTCTCCGGTCCCATAACTGATTTCCGAATACTTTTGCGAGGCAGTGTATGTATTTTTAAAAACTTACAACTTCAAGGTCAAAATTTATTATATGTAATAATCTAATGGATTTTTTAATTTGTTGTGCAGAATTCATGATCGCGCAATGAGTTTATAAGACGAGAATTAAGAAATTAAAAGATACGTTGTTAACAAGCTTCATTAGATGATTTATACTTGCTTGGTAATAGTGTAGTTTGCTAAATTGTAAACAAAGAGTAATAATTTCAGACGATTTTAGAAACATGTTGGTGTCACTAATAAGTGTCCGATTAAGACGAGAGGAAATTGATACTCTAAAACTTGATGATGACCTTATGTAATAACTCTTTTCACTTCCATCTCTCATCACTTTATTCTTCTTTTTTATATGTTATTCAACTTTAGATAAATAAGTGATACATGATTCAACTTCACGTCTTGTGCATTTATAGAATTTCTTAATGGGATGGATTCTGTTCCAAATCCCATAGTTCCTCGATTAATAACTGAAAAATAATTGGCGAAGTCTCTCATAAACCAACCTTTGGTTTCGGTAGCCACACTGTATTTTGTGCACTCTTCTGAGAACACCCCCTCACTCAGAAATCCCATCAATCACTCCTCTCCATTCCCACTTAAAAACCTCTCATTATTCCTTTATCATTCCATTATTCATCATTCCCTCCAACTCTATCCTTAACCTTCTCCACCATCCATTTATCCCTATCATGCCGGTACCACTCATTCATCCGTTCCACCTCGCGTCATCCTCCTCCGACCTATCATCCGGGAAGTATTTCCGAAATAGGTCGCCTATCCTTCTTTCTCTCTACACCACATCTCCTTCCATCCTTTATATTTCTCGCCCTCTCCCAACTTGAATATGAAATATGAATATGAATGGCAGGAATATGAATTTGCTCTTCATATTCCTGCCCGTCACCGCGACCTATAAGATCTATTGTAACTTTAACCCTCAAAAGGTTTAGAGCAAATGTAGGTCCTTAACACGTTAACTGCCCTGTGTACCATATATGGACACAGTTGAATTAACCCCAGCGCCATGTGTACCATCAGTGGACACACGTTCTACCACCTTCTAAGCCATGTGTACAGGGTGTTCCAATTTCGATGTCCGCATAGGCTATCTCCGAAACTGAAAGAGATAGAAAAAAAGTAGCTTACATGTCATGATCTCGTTTTTTGAGAAAATGCTAATTCACGGTAACAACAAACAAGAACATAACAAAAATATTAACAAGAACAATAAAATTATAAACAAATAATAATAAATAAAAAAGAAGAAAAAAATACTAAAGCAGATGTTCAAAAACACTGCCTGATATCGCCGTCTTAAATTAAAGCGCACTCTGCGGAGAACTTTGATCTCAGTTCGAAGTTGATCAAATGAATCAACAATTCGCAACCTCAGTTGATCAACTGAAGTTATTTCAACCCAGTAAACTAACGATTTAACGTGTCTCCATAAATAAAAATCTACAGGTGTAAGATCCGGCGATCGGGGGGGTCAATTTATCGGTGCACCTACTCCTCGTACAATCCACCGTCCCGGAAAACGTTCCCTCCGAAATTTTTGGACAGCCTGTGTGCTATGTGCAGCAGCATCATCATGCATATACCACATTGCTTGCCTTGTGTTTAAAGGAACGTCATCTAAAAAATCATCTAATTCCTCTAAATGTCGTCTGTATGTATGTCCATCCAGCCTTGATGGCAAGAAAACGGGTCCAGTAATTACATCGCCCACAATGCCAGCCCAAACGTTAAGAGAAAATCTCCATTGTGATTTCCAAGTTTTCTTAAATTTTGTGCTGCAATATTTGGCAATATATTTGGCACTTCCTCAACGTTGTAACATTGAAATGGATAAAGCTGTTGCTGGTGAAGAACACGCCAGACAGTTGTTTTTGAAGTTAAAAAATGCATCGCCATAAGTACTAGCTGTAGTGTTTTTTTCTACGTAGTCTAGAATATCTTCTTCTAGTTCGGGTGTCCGGACTGATCTTACGTTACCGTTGTTAGTAAATTTCAGCTTAAACGTCCCATTTTCCCTTAAACGGGTTACAATCCTTAAAAATGTTTTTCGATTGGGCGCTCTGCGGTTCGGAAATTTCTCCCGATAACGGTTAGCGGCTGCTACGGCGTTTCCATGACATTCCTCTAATGTCAAAATCATGTCAGTTTGTTCACTAAATGTGTAACTCTCCATTTTGAACACTTAAAATTAATAAAAACTTAACTAACAAAAAACTATCGTTTGTGTTTAAACGATATAAGCAAGTTGACAGCTCAATTTGTTTTTTTTAATTGCCATGGCCAACCTTGACTTTTTCGAGGATTTTTGTTTTTTAGTGTTACCATTGAAATCAAAGCTAAATATTTTCGCGTATAACTCGAAAACGGTCAATGTTATCAAAATATTCAAAGAGTGATAAAAGTTTCTAAAATAAATTTTCTATTAAAAGGTACAAAAATAAATGTAGGGTTACGAGCAAACAAAAAAGTTCTGAGCAAACAAATTTTAGGGACATCCTGTATAGCATGGTTGCCGCCGCCCGATCAAAGTCAAAATTGGTTCAATGATATTGCTTGATATTTGTTTACCCTGTACCAAATTTCAACGCTCTACCATAAATGGTATCGAAAATATTTAGAAAAATTTGTTAACATTTCTGAACTTTGATGGCCCATATTTTGGCCATTTGAAGACTTTTATAATAATTTTTTTTCACGAATCGTCATCATTTTTGTTCTAGTATGTGAGGTTAATTTTATGCCCCGAGTGACCGGAACACCCTGTATATATTTGTTATCAGAAAAAAATAACAAATTATTTTAGGTCATAGCCAACTATGGTTTCCATTTAAAAAAATAAAGTTACGTCTAAAATCTCGAAAATAAAAGATGGGAAAAAAATTCTTCCTACGCCACTGAATTCTTCGTAAAAAGTTGCCCATATAATGTTTTGTTTATAATACTCCATCGTTGATAATAAATGAGATATTTGAGATTGTCGTTTTCGCAAAATTTTCACTTTTTGCCGATAGGGCGAAAACAAAAGACGATAGCTGTTCGGAGTTTTCGGCATTAGCATTTTCTCGAAAAACGAGATCATGACATGTAAGCTACTTTTTTTGTATCTCTTTTAGTATCGGAGATAGCCTATGCGGACATCGAAATTGCGACACCCTGTACACAAGGTGGCCGCATTTAGCATTGATTTAAATGTATGTATGGGTGGGTCTCGCGTAGGAAATCATTAAAATATTATTAATTACTAAAATATTACACTATATTACCAAATATTGCATTAAAATATGACACAAAATTTATATTTCAAAATTATTTATTTCTTTCTGTTCAAAAATGTAACGTTTAGCTTAAACTAATAAAAAATATTTATAAAATTAATGGAAAATGACTGCAAAGCACGAAACATTCTATTTTAAGTCTGTGTTCTTCTACTGGATTCTCTGCGTTTGGGTGTAGCGGTTTGGTTATAGAAATTTTCTTATTGTTTATTTTGTTGTACAAGTATAACGCATTTACTACTGAGGTGCCTGTAATAAATTCAAAAGCCAATTTTCTGTACCATTTTATTGACTTTCTCAGAGAATTTGAATAGGCTGCCATTTGATCTGACATATCAACAAACGCTTTAGCTTTATTGTAATCAATTATTGCAGACGGTTTAAGCCTGGGACCCTCTTTGTGATGTACTTCTTTTTGTTCATCTGTGTGTTTAGTGGATAATAGGAGGACATCTCTTTTGTCATGCCACTTCATAACAACCACTTTATTTTGATTCTGCCT